GCTCGTTAAACTCGGATTAAGCGGATTACTTTCGATTCCGAGGGATATTAAGCTCTTTATTAATCGTCGTTCCGTTAAAATAATATACTACCCGATCGGTATTGGTTTTTACGCGATTCTCCGTTACGATACCTCGCTTTAGTTACGAAAGGCTCCCCGTAGAAGCTCTTTAGCCTTTAAACGGTCCCGAAGAAGACTTTAGTATTAACCTAAGACTTAAGAGCTTATTAGGTTAATCCGATTTCTCCTTACTCTTCCGCTTCGTTAGCTTTAAAGCTTAGGATTCCGCCTTTAGTTATTCTTATATCTCTTTTTCCTAATCGAATAATTCTAAGGATTCCTCTATAAATTAAATTAAAGCGTCTAAAGGCGTTTACGGTCGATCGTTTAAAGGTTAATCGTCTATAAATTTAACTTTCTTCTGGATTAAAATAACGGATTCTCCTTTTTCCGGAGCTTTCTCCGGTTTAGGTTTACCTACCCCCGAATTCGGGTTAATAAACTAAGTTATATCTAAACTATCGCTCGGAATAAGTTCGTTATCCTTAAGTTAAAGTAACTCGCTAATAAACTCTATAATAAAGAAAGCTTACGAATCCTAGATATCTAGAGCTTCGATAATAGCTTCCGTTACATTATTAGTAACTTTACCCGTAAAATCGATTCGGTTTAGCTCCTTTTAAACGAGCTCTTCGGTTTATAGCTCTTCGGACTTATTATAAAATATTTCTTTATTAAAAACGACGTCTTTAGTTAGTATTACTTTCCTTAGTTTAAGAACCTATACTCGGTATAGGTTAAATATATAATATCTAATTAAATAACCGACGTAAGCTCTCGGTTTAACTTTAAATCCTCTTCTATCGAGATCTTAAGCGCGTTCTCTTAATAAAGGATACGCGCGATATCCGTACGTATAGATTCCGTATTAATCTAGCCTTAGGTCGCTCGTTAGCTCCCTTATAAGCGTAGGTATATATCATTTAAAGTAAACGGTAAACTAAGTATTAAGTAATTTATAAGGCAAACGAAGATTATATATATAGCTCGGGCTTATATTTATTAAGTATACCGTAGCCTTTACGTATTTAGGCCATAGCTTCTCTAAAAGCCTTACTTTTATCCTTATTTTAATCGATTTAACGATAATAAACTATCTAGTTCTCTTACCCTTATTAATTAGCTCTTTAGTATTCGCCGGTAGTAGCTCGAGATTAATACCTTCTTCCCGAGCCTAGATTTTATATCCGGTTAAGCCTTTAATCCCGATTATTATTCGTTCGTTATCGTATCGAAGCTTATAAATCGAGAAACGGAATTATTTTCGTATCTATCTTTTAAAGAATCGAATGATTTTCGTAACTAAGTAACCTTATTTACTCTTAAGGGTTTTTACCTAAAGCATTCCGTTATATTTATTTCTAATAACGAGTATTTATTTAAAGCCGTCGTATTCTTTCGGAAAGTTAAATAGATCTTAATATATGCGTTAAAAAGGGCATAGTAAGCGATATAATAATAATCGGCGTAAGATTACTTTCTTACCTATCGTAAGCCTATAATACTCGTACTTAAGCGTAGGTATACCGTTAATCTCGACATTCTAGGCATACTTTATAAGTACTTTAAGCGTTTCCGGGCCTAGGTACCTAATTCTAAGGTATTAGAGTTACTCGGAGCCTTCTTTCGGTTTTATTTAATCTCTCGATTTTCTTTATCGGATTTCTTTTTCCTTAGTCGTCGGAATAATAACGAGCGATATTACGCTATATAATATTATTATAAACGTACGTAGCGGTATTATAAGAAGAACTTACGAATAAACAGAAAACTATTTAAATTTAAAGAATACTAGGTTATAACGACGTTCGAGCTTTTTTATAATAAACCCGTTTTTAATCGACCCCTAGCGAAGGAAGTAATTAAGACCATAGTACTAAATATTAATAACAAGAAGCTTTACTTCGGAAATAATATTAATATGGAAATCTTTAACGAAAATAACGTCTTTAAGCGTAAGGTCGATCGTAAGCTTACCCGATTTATTCTAAAGGTAGTTCTTAATAACGCGTATATTAGTACCGGTAATAAGAAAGCTCGTAATATTAGCTTCGATAATCTATCCGTCTTTAATAAGAGCGAAAAAGCCTTCGACTAATAAATCCCGGTTATTAATAAGGTAAATAGCTCCGTAGTTATCGAAGATAGTACTTTCGGAAAGAAGGTATCGTATTAAATCTATAATAAAAAATACCTTTACGCTAGAGGTTATATAGATAATACGTAGGTTTATTATCGTTACGTTAATATTACCGGATTATTTATTATTTTTATTACGCTTATTCCGAGGTAGGTTAGTTCCGGAGGAACTACCTTAACTAAGAGCGGTAACCTTTTATCCGTCGCTTTTAATAAAGGCTCGGAATAAGGCAAAGTCGCTTAAGTTATACCGTTATTTAGTAGCTAGTTTTACGTCGTCGGGTATATATAAGATTTATCGTAACGTCTTACCGGTAATAGTAAATTAAAGGTTAGCGTATACTTCCGAAGCCTAACGGTATTATTTATTATATAAGTACTTATTAGCTCTAGCGTTATCGGTCGAGCTATTAAAGCTACTAAAGCTACTAACGTTAGTCGCTCCGGCTTTATATCCTAAAGTAGCTTTTTAATACGTAGTTAAGATATAAAGGCCCGATTTACCTATCTTCTTATCCTCGGAAATAAAAGCTCCGAATATTTTATCTAGCTTTATAAGGAAAAGTAGCTATCGTTTAAGCCGGTCCGCCGTAATTAGTTTAATAGTTACGCGAGTAACTTAATTTAAAACGATCTTAGCTTTAATAACTTCGAAGAAGTCCTTTGCTCCGAATACGCCTCGGATCTCGTTAATATCGTAAGCGAGAGCTCGGTAATAAGCGTTATTCTAAGTAATAAAGAATTACTTTCCGTAAAGAGTACCCGCCTTTACCTTTTATAGGACCTCGCGGTATTCCTAGCGAACGAACGTTTACGTAACGGTAAAGGTAGAAGCGAAGTAGTCGCGAAGTAATCTTACGGTATTTTAAACGTTCGGCTTAAGTCCTTAAGCTTTAAGTTATATACCGACGAGCTCGAGATAATTAATAAAGACCGAGGATATAATTTAATAATAAAAAGTTCGGTAGCTTTTACCGGCGATAGTAGCTTAAGATTCCTAAGAACGACTTTATTCGAATAATTATTTATATTTTTCGATAAAGAGGTAGCGCGGGTTTTCGGTTAAAGCTTTCGGCTCCTCCTTACGAGTCTTAAGATCTTTTTCGACCTACTCGTAGAAAGCTTAAAGGTATTACTTCCTCGCTCGCTTTTTTTCCTAAGTAATAAATTCTTCGAGCGATAGGAGTATCGCCGAACTTAGCTTATAGTCGTTTACATTAAGATTAATATCCTTTTAAATATCGAATTACTCGGCGTAGTTCTAGAAAGTAATAAACTATCGTAAATATTCGTCGAAGTTACGTAGGTTAATATTAATAGGTAGCTTTTTAATGGAGAAGTTTCCGTTAGTACCCGTTATTACTATAGATATATTACTCGAGAGAAAGACGAGAGCGATATTTAAGAGAAAAACGATTAATCGAAAGATTAGAAAGATAGAAATAAATAATAAGATTACTCGGAAGCTTATATAATAAAACCTTAGTTAACTTAGCTCCTTAGAAGGACTACCGGGCTTATAATTAATACGTAGATTAGGAGAGTTACGTAAGTACTAAGGTTACTTCTTAGGAATAACGAAAGGTAAAAAGAAGAAGGTAAATTAACTAACTATCTAAAAAGGAAGAAGATTAATAAAGGAAATACGAGCTACCTATATATAGAAGATAGGGAGCTACGAGCTATATTATATAAGCGAGCTAAGAGCTATGTTAGGTAAGCGAGTAACTCGAGAAGGAGTAGGGAGCCATGTACTAGTGGCTCTTTATGTAATAGATAGCTATTCTATCCTTAGAAAGAACTATTAAATTAATATAACGCTTATATCGTATCTATATCGTATCCTAAGTTTAATTCGCTTTAGCGTCGCGATGGAAATACTTTCAGCTGTAGTGATCCTTTCTAGGGGTAGTAATAGTGCTAAACATGCTGTCGATAGACCCCCATCCCCCCTGTATGGTAGGTAGTCGTCCACGAAACCCAGGCAACCCGCATCCTGGCCCAATTAGTCAGTAATACCGCTCTTCCTTCAGCTCTCATCACCCATGCTCCATAATGCTCAGACTTTTAATCACCTAGCATCACGGCTCTTCCTCACCCTAAAATCACCCATGCCCAGTAATACTCAGGATTTAGATCACCTTTGCCATCCCCTTCGATAGGATGCACCAATCGTCTACTCGAACCCAATATGGCCTTGCCCTTCCTCGAAATTCGTTAACTTTGCGCGACGCTTGCCGTAGATGAGGATTCAGCTACCGCCGCCAGGAAATGAGACGAGAGTAGGGTTCTCGCAGGGAGCCCAGGTTCTGGTACCCTCTCCCAATAGTTGGATGAAGCGTCGCCCAGGTGTGGGCAGAAGCAGCTGTTTCTGCTGGCCTTGCTATTAGGAAATAGCACTTTAATCTATACATATAATAGGCGGCGATTAAGCGCATTTATTCCTGCTTGCTTCCTACCTTGCGTTTAGTATTAAGGGTGAAGATAATCCAAACCTAGCGGAAGGAATCGTCATGGCTGGTTAGCGACACGAACATAATTGCATCTACGATAACACCACGCTTTTAGTTACGAATGTGTGTACTAAGTTCTTGCCCGCCTTCCCAGCCACTCGCCATCCATCTACCTTCGGCCTACTTTTTCCACTTGTTATAGCGCGTCTTTTGTTATTATACATGTCATGTTTAGGAGCCGTGCCTTTGAGTAAAACGTCCTCTTATATTTTAATCCCTAGAAATGCAAATCCTTTACTAGTAGAGCAGACCCAAATTTTCATGCAGCTTTTCCCACACTCTCACCGTTCAGTCCATTTGACCACCATCTCCATTCTGTAAGTCAAGGTGGAAGGATCTAATCAGGGCATCGCTCTCGTCAAGGGTCATTACCTTGAGGTCTGCCATCTGCTTGATCTTGGCCGTCCTAGAAAGTTGGGGTTAGATCATTAGTAATCTGAATCTCAGGATATGTGGCCAACACCTACACTTCCTTGATCTGGTTATCAGTCATCTTCAGACCAAGCTGGTTAACTCGACTCCTAATAGCATTCCAGCCAGTAAGTCTAGATGCGAAGTGCACACTTCGAATTTTGATCAGTTTTGAGGCCATAGTATTACCCGTATTATAGCTTACTATCTGTATAGCTATTAGTTCTGAATATACGGGGGACAAATAGTATGGCTTGCCTTGATAGACCGAAGTCCTCGGGCTTAAGGATCTCATAGGTAGACGGGGAATTAAGGATTGCCTTGGCGTGGATACCAGCCTGGTACCGCGTTAGTCAGTATAACCGGCAGGCTTCATATGTGGCATATACCTTGTGTGTGAAGGCGCAAAACCCTGTGGTTCTTGTAAGCAATATGGCAGTGACTATAGCAGAAAAATGACGTATGACATACCGGTAATTGGGTTGTTAAATGGCACGTTGATCTAAAGACGCTGTTAGCTTGACAGCTTGCAAGAAAGCACATAACAGAACCAGACAGAGTATGGGATACACTTGCCTCAACCGCTTCTGCGACGAAGTCTTCAATAGCTTTGAGCTGGTGAAGCTTGTACTTGGAGAGAATGTAATCCCTGCTGGTCGGCATCATTCTAGCCATCTTGAATTTCGCTAAGTCAGATTATAGTCAGATTCCTAAAGAGTAAAAAGTTTAACGTACGAAGGCCCCAAGTGGGCAGATGCCATTTCTTTCCCCAATTCCAAGCACGGATGTGTCAACGTCTATGCCGTAGAAAGTCAGCCTAAATGCCCACCTCCGTAGAAGCTATTGACGATGTCCGTGGATCCGGAGTCCATCTCAAAGGTGTATGTCAGATGTATCTCCCGGCTACTTATGAAGGCAATCACTCCGCAAGGTGAGCTTACGTGTAGCACCCGCCTCGAGGGCAGTAAATGAGTTCTTAATAGTCAGCTTCTTATCTTAAGGCAGGTTTCTGAGGATATAACGAACCGCCACAGCACAGCCCGTATCATCGTGGAACTTAATCAGATTAGCCAAGCGTTACGCAAAATATAGTTCACAGCAGCACATACATGAACCTCGATATCGGTTGAGACACAGCCTCGAAGGGTTCTAACAAGGTCCTACAGATGGTTAGCATCAGACAGACTGAAGATGATGACGATCACTAACGTAAACCTGTCTTGGGGAAGCGCAACCCACGGTGTCGGCAACTCCCACCCTCCCGACTCCAGCGTTGTTAACAGCGCGGTAGATGGAGAGCAAATCGACCAGATCAGACCTTTCCATACGTTAGCAAGACGGCTGACATCAGCCAGCCGACCCCTTCGAAACCCCGCTGAGACAGACAGAAGGAGTCAAGCCTTTGATGGAGAAGAGCATGTCGAATAGCATTTCTTTTGCTTTGTTCAACTTAGCAACGCAGAAGCTCTATAGGTCATGGGCGCATTTTGAGAGAGCGTCTCAAAATGATCGATGCTATGTCATAACAAGCAACCAGAGTCTGCGTATGAGATCCTGCTTTCACCTCTAGGTCTTGCTCGTCATGACTCTCCAAGGCCCCAGTCTCCTCAAGTAACATAGAGATCGATCGGTCGGCGAAGGGACCGGCTTAGCGAAACGCTAGAGACCGCACTCACCGGAAAGAGTCTTCACTCGAGAAGCGAACCTCGCAGCCTCGGCTGAGCAATTGTTAGCTTCTAGTTTTGACCAGATTGGTGGTACACATACCTCTTGATATACTCAATGACTTCGATGGCCTGCTTAGTAATTGCTGTCATGTCCTTGCCGCCAAGGGAATGCTCTCGGAGGAATTCTTATTCCTGCAAGTCAGTCCATGGACGAGATATATATAATGGGTCTGTGCTCACGGCTCGTTCCGATCACGACATCTACACCGTCAACTCCGCAGTCACACTTCGAGGGTTCAGTCGTTTGCAATTATTCTCAGTTTGAGGGGCGCATACCGCAAGCTTGGCGTCCTGGAGCATATGTTAGCCGCATACGAGTAAGGGTGCACTGACGGATCGACAAAGATGAAAGAACGGCCGTCCTCTAGGATCGCTAGCCATAACGTCGCCGCCCCCCCCGCGGGCGTCCGGCTCCGGGGTCACCGTCACCACCAGGGTGATGGCCGTCGGGTGCAACTTACTTCTAGAGTGCATCTTGTGTCTGAAATGTCTGTTAGAAGACTTACCACAACCAGGGCCAAAAGGAGATAACAAACGGGTTAGAATCTTGGCCTACTGTGTCGTTAGTAGGCGTTTAATCTGTTCGATGTATTGATTCTTGGATGCGCACCTTGAGGCCGAGCTTGCAGATGGCTTCGCAGTCGTCGCGAGATTGCTACGGTTGATTAGCACTGAGATCTAACGAAGACCAAACGGCAAGACTCACCGGACTGGCAGCCGGATTCGTAAGCTCGATGTAATCAACACCGAAATCCGATCCATACGGAGGTCAGTTTTCTTAAATTGAAACTGCAGAGCAGGATTCTATGGGTATCATACAGCATTGTCGCACTATGGACAAGGTGGCGTCAGCGAGTAGGACGAAGGGCTAGAGTCCGCCTTCAACATACATTTTAATCTTGGTCTCTCTCGAGAACCATGCGTTCGCGAATTGCTCCCCTTCTCTTAAGGTTGACTCAATGACCTTGAAGTTACGGACATTACTCAATAGGTCGCTAACGCTCGAGTAAGGGTTCGACGCGGTGTTGCCGGTGATGGACATGTTGGGAGTCGGGCCGTCCAAACGACGATGGGGAGCTGTAAGTAGGGTGAGCGGCCTCGTTACGAGGAAAAGAATACGCCTCTCTCGCTACCGGTAGACGAGAGGCTCGATTGAAGACTCGTTTCGATTCGATTCGAGGGAGATAATCGGGTTGTTTGATGTTCTGGAGCAGATGATGGAGGGGCAGGTTCTGCATGTGTGGGGTATTTAAGGTCTAGAAAGATTTTCGGGAGTCATCGCCAGCGCCTCCGGTCCGATGGTGGGGTTCATGCGTTAGGAGGGAAAAAACCTCTTCACTGGCTCCCCACAGACAGACCGACAACGATGGGAACCAGGAACGGACCTCCACCATGACGCATCACGATGCCTTTTTCCCCTACACAGAGTCATCAAAGTGCACGTAATCTAGGCTTTGGTTCTGTCCATTTTCTGGACGGATTATCGACTTCGCAACATAAACCAATTGCAAGGACGTAGTTCATAATCTGCCTCACTGATTCAGCGCTGTTCAGGCGAGCTCAAGCCACTAAACAAAGTAAAAGCCTGGCCAAGGGTTACCTCTACCCCACATTAGCCCTCGAATCACATTCTGTAGTCTAGATCCAGTCACTGCTCCGATCGCCGGGCATCGATCTGCTAATTGTTTGCGGGGGTTCCCAATGATTCAGAACGCAATACCAAGCGCACAAGGTGGGAATAGCGAGGATTGGTAGCTCTTTGCTGCACAGGCGGCACCAAAATGTGCCTGGGTTTCAGTCAGTTCTCCGGCCAGCCCACGCAAGGCTGTGATGATCTCCCAATCACCGTTGCCTCGCTCCATACCTCTGCCCTTCCAAGTCGACTTACTCAGGAATACAGTGCCACTTTATTCTTCGCCATCGTCACTCTCGTCATATAGGTACTGATGTGTCTTCGCATTCCCTCGATAGTCTTTGGTTGCTTGAGTGCGTATCCTGGACACTCTTGAGCAAGTGGACAAGGCAAGCCTTCGTCATTATGCGCAGACTCAAGATGCAAGTCGACGGCTTCGACATTTCCGAATTGAGATTGGCAACCGGAAGCTCCAAAGTCTGTCGCGAATGGACAGCGATATAAGGTGTCTTCCGATATGTGGAGTGGATAACCTCTGTGAGAGAGCATCGCATGGCGAGAGGCAAGCTCTTGGGTCTCGAAGGTCTCGTTGCACTTTTTGCCCCCATCGAAGGCGCAAGGGAAGGGCTATTGAACAGATTAATACGATTCATATCCTAGACTTGTAGGTACTTAAGGTACCTTTGATGCCATCGTCGCGTCGGAAGCAAGTTCCTTCAGCCATGCAGAGAGAGGAGCGTGCCGGCAAGGACCTTCATGATAGATATTACCTTGCGAAATTGCTCCTCGAGGCTGGGGAGGTCTTTAAGAGACTCAGAGTGAAAGTAAAATGGCGCTGGAAGAGCGAAAATGAACAACCCCGCGAAGGAATCGCGTCCTGATGTGGAAGGCTTAATGCCGCATCCCTCGGGCTCGGGGCCTGAGGCATAACACCCTATACAAATTAGGTAGGTACACGCTGGCTGTACCTTTCAAGTATAGTAGGTACATGCTACCTCCTGCAAGTAAAGGTACACCTCCCACCTAACCTACTAACCCAGGGTACGCTTCATGCTGGATAAATACAGGTACCTACCTGGGCACCTGGTACCTAACCTAAGGTAGGTTAGGTACTATACGGGGAGATGGGGGTCTATCGATAGTATGTTACGTACTATTACCCTCCCTAAAAAGGATTACTATAACTAAAAGTATTTCTATCTCCATATTAAAGCGAATTAAACTTAGGATATAATATAGGTACAATACAAACGTTATATTAATTTAGTAGTTTTTTTTTAAGAATAAAATAATTATTAAAAACTATATTAAGTTAGAATCTATAAGTATTTTATACTTATTAAAAGACTTCGTTAATATTCTATTATATAGAGGTTATATTTATACCGTATTAGCATTGCAGATATATTATCGATAGCCCCCCCCCTCCCGTTATGGTAGGTACCTCAGGCAGGTATGTAAACCCAACAATAGGTCATGTACCTCAGGTATGAGGCAGGTATCGTATCGGGCACACAGGCTGGGCGTCCCGACAATCTATCGAAAGCCAACCCCCTCCAGAGCCAAGAACGTCCGGAACACGGACAGGCTAGGTTGTGCTGCGTCAAGCAGGCAAAATATCCTAGGGGGTGTACTCGTGGCACTCTGGAGTGTGGTTGCATTTGTGGAAAAGCCGACGGACGTCGGGAGGCATTCCAGTCCGCGATACGTCTCGAATCCAGCCGGGCATGACGGATATTAGCGTGGGCATATACAGTGCATAAAAGAGCCTACCTCTCGTGTGCTGATGCGTATGCCACCAAACGTAGTACGTGTACATACCTACCTACTGGAGAGTGGGAGAGCGGACATGCTTGGTAATAGTTATCGGTTAGGGGCGTGCTCGCGGACCAGCTCCTCGCCCCATGTCAGCCACCTGCTGTCCAGTAGTTATGAGTAGAGGTATGTATATCACTACGTACCTAGGTAGGTAGATACCTAAGGTAGTAGTGCTTCCCAAGACGGATACCCTTATCCATATTATATCCCCACGTATATATACCCCATATATATATAGCGACCTCATCTTCCCGCCCTTGCAGAGAGACGGTTATATATGCGTATGCAAGTGTGCGTACATATGTAGGTATGTAAACCACCTCCACCAACGTACGCATGTATGTAGAAAGGTAGGTAGGTTGGGGTCGTCAGTGTCAGTACCTACATAAAGACCCTGGATCGCTAGCGATCGTCGCCTACAACCCCCCTCGCCTCGCAGACCACCTGGTCTTTGCCTCCTTACGATTATGGCCATCGCTGTGGTTGGGAACAGCCGGGAGAGAGAGGGGCGAGCATCCGAGCCGCATCTGGAGATAGTACCCGAACGCTGTACGACTCTTGTGCCACTCTTACAGAACCAATATCCATCGAGTGTCCTATCTATAAGGGCATGTGATTCACCTGAGTTCTTTGGCCACCTTTGCGGCGCTGCGATTCATCCGTCCCTGTGCATAGGTATATGTACACTTGCACAACCTAAAGCCAAGTCCATACGCCCGATGCATCCATTACCCAAAATGCATTTGTAAGAGAACGGTATCACATAGGGCCTATGAGCAAAGCAAGCAAAGCCGGTATTGAAAACAAGATTCCGGTCTGTCCTGGGTGGACCCCCGCTTAGTCGGCAACACCAAACAGTCTCACGACGTGGCACGCGGGACAACTGCGTAGTATGAATTTCTCTCTACATACCTAGAGGTATTGCCACACCATCGGAGCTAATAGGCTACCTAAGTATCACATGTTGTTGATTGGTGCTGGAGATAGCGAGCCGCATCTTGACAACGCACCCACCCATCGAGGCGACGCGTGGGCTTTCCGAAGTGCCGCTCTCTCACCGCAGCAGACCCTTTTGCGTCCCCTTTCGTGGGCAAGCCTGACGTTGTCCCGCATCTTGTGGTCCTCGCCCCCTCATCTCCACTCTGTTCGGGAAACGCTGCGAGTCCAGAGAGCTTCTCTCTCCCCGATCGCACCTCGCATACCCGCAACTGGGCCCGCACTTCGGCTGCCCGGCGAGAGACAGCCAGGATGCGGCAGACAGGCCTTTTAATACAAGCTATAGATAACATTATCGGCGGCCGAGCTGTAATCGATGCGGTGCGGTGCTCGCTTCCTCGTACCAAAATCATCAAAATAGAAGGCGATCCATTGCAGGTGGCTGAGACGGCCGATCGCGTCGAAGCCCATCCCAAGCACCCAGAGCTTCAAGACGGTGGCGCCCCCCTTTCTCGCCTTCTCCTTATCATTGCGCTTTCATTCGCTCCCCATGGCGTAGCGTTTCGCACGGTGGCTCGCTATACCATTGCGCTCCCGTCGCGAAGTCCACCAAGCTGAGCAGTAACGCGTCAGGTCTGTAAGCAATGAAAGTGTCCGAATTCCCGTTTGGGATCTGAGAGGGCTTTGCGGGTGATGAGACGAATACCCTACATAGGTGTGTATTCGTAGAAGCAGCTTGTCATCTGGGGTCCCCAAGCTTTGTCCGCAAGGCTCGTGACATGGCTATATGTGCTAACCCCGGAGCGTCCGGGATAACTGGACTTATGGTCGACGCCCTCATCGCAGAATCTGTAACCATTCTCATGTTAAGCGCATCGTCTTCGTGATGTTTTCAACCGACTCCTTCCTGGCTAGGTACAAGCCTGCAACTTCGGTAGTCAAAGGAGCAGTTACCTGTGGATCAACAGATCAACGTAGATCCGAGCCGTGAACGCACGACGCACGGCACGTAAATAGATCGTCAATTGCGTTATTCTCAGCTTCTAGTTAGCTCTCCTCAATTGATCAGGTTCCAGGTTCAGTCTCCTAAGGATTCGCATACTAGTCGATACTAACTTGGTATCGTGGGATCAACAGGAATGACCAGCCGCGAAGCACACACCGATGCGTTTATGACGAATATCTAACTAAACGGCATGCCTATAAAGAGTCACGTGCGTAAAGACGGTGAGATGCGTCAAGCAGCTGTTGTCGGCTGTCACTCCAGCACTTAGTAGTAATGTACGTGGGCATCTCTCTACCTACCTGTTCATCCCAGAATTGCTTCCCCGATCCATGCATTCTGAGATATAGCAAATTCCAAGCCTTTAGATTCCTCGACCTCCATCGGGACCATGGCGGCCCCCGACACCTCCGCGTTCACCAACTCAGCTCAGGTCTTTACCTCGCACACGCTTCCTCAAATCCGCATCATCCACAAGGCCCTCCATGTGCAGATCGACGAGAAGTCGGCCCGCTTGCGCACCCAGGTCGGGAATAGCTATCGAGAGCTGCTGGGAACTGCCGACACCATCGTACAGATGCGGCAAGATATGGTCGCTGCACAGGAAATCCTCGGTCGCATGGGTGGCATGTGCGGGCGGACCGTCGTCGACAGGAAGCGCGCGGGCCTAAGTAAGTTCTACGGTGGGGGAGACGCCGAGGAGCATACAGGCCATGCTGCGAGGGTCAAGCTACTAGATGCCTGCGGGCATGTCGTGGGCCGATTATTGAAGGGGGGGGCAGACGGTAGAGGGGACCGATTGGTGCTAGCAGCGAAAGTCCTCGTCCTAAAGACACGATTGCTGAGATCGAGTTTCGGCGCGGTTGATGACGCCGCCAAGGATACCCGGGTCGTGGTAGAGGGAGCGTGGAAAAGCTTAAATAGCCAACGGAGAAGGCTCCTCAGAGTAGCCGAGAAAGTATTGGCGAAACACGGCGACGATGGGGGCCGGGATGATATCCTGAAGGCCTTGACTGCCTACAGCTTAGCCTCTAGCTCCGGAGCGAGAGACGTCCTACGGCATTTTCTAAGCGTGAGGGAGAAAGCTATTACATATGAGTTCGATCCGGAAGAACGTGAGAAGGAGAGAAAGGTAGAAAGAGTGTTGAGGGGCCTCGATTTATACACGAAAACGTTGTTAGACGTGCAAGCCCTGGCCCCCAACAGACTCTCGGATGCATTGTCACGATTAAAGAAGCAGCACCTGCTAGCAGACGAGTCGCTCCAAGCACTGGAGGATCTTCGGCTAGATATACTTGGGAGGTGGTGCGGCGATGAGATCAAGTACTTCACTCCCTTCATCCTCCACGACGACCTAGACGGCAAGCAAGCCAAGGAGACACTCGCAGACTGGGCGCACAAAGGCGGCGAGATTCTTGTCCAAGGTCTCCGGACGACCCTCGAGCGTGTCTCCGAATTTAAGACCATCGTGGATCTGCGAACCAGCATAATTCGGCGCTGGACTCGGGACGGGGGCAAAGCCCGGGGTTTCGACCCATCCGTCATGCTCAACGGATTACGGCAAGCCATCAACGACCGTCTTCTGCACATCTTGGAGACAAAAGTCTCCAAGCTGAAGTTGGTCGGGTCCGAAGTGACCGCAACATTGGAAGCATGGCCATCGGGGACGACCGACCAACGTCGTAGCTTATGGGATGAGGAGATGCTCGATATGGACATCTCTAGCGGCGCATCTCTCATCACGGACGAGGTCATCTCCCGCTTGTACGGTAGAGATAATGCTGTGTCCCGGGTGATCGCAAGCTACGAGTCATGGCGCCATCTCATCGACAGCGTTGGCGAGTTAGTAAGCCAACTCAGGTACCAACGTTGGGACGATGACGTCGAAGAAATAGAGGATGAAGATGTCATTGCCGTTCGGGAAAAGCTCTTGAGCAAGGATGACCCTGAGCTACTACAGCAAAAGCTGGACACGACCATTGAGGACGTCTTCAACAATCTCGACCAACATCTAACATCCGCCTGGCAGTCCCGACGGGATAGTCCGGATAACGGCACAATATCTATGTATTTCCTGCGGGTCCTAAGAGACATCCGTAGCCGGTTGCCTAAGCTTGAAGGCATCCGAGCTTTTGGTCTCGGCAATGTTCCGTCCCTACACGAGAAGCTGGCAGCGAATGTGTCTATTTCTCCGCTCGAGGAATTTAGCTCCGTTACCTTGACCAGAAAACGAGTAGCGGGCCGGGCCCTGTGGGAAGGTGAGCCTGCGTTGCCGGCACAACCGTCGCCTGGCGTCTTTAAACTTCTCCGCAACCTGGTCATGTCCATGGGAGACGCCGGTTTGGATCTCTGGACACCCGCCGCCGTGGACGTCCTAAAGCAAACATTCGGCAAGGAGCTCGCCAACACATGGCGCAAGGAGTTGAGTTCTTACGTCGCAGACCGCCAAACGGCTATCGATACGGACGAGAACACCAACGGAGAAGAGTCCTCGACCCAGGAGGGGAATAGCCCAGTCGGTGCTGGTGAGCATCCCCCAGAAGGCGAGAAGGTGGTGAACCAGGGGAAGTCTAAGGAAAGCGGCAAAGATATTTTTATCCAGTGGCTCTACGACATCCATCTCCTGCAAGAATGTCTCAGCGCCAACACCGGCTCAGAAGAGACGTTCAAGACTTTGTTAGAGGAGGTGTTTAACGAGTGTGCTCTCGACGACGCGGCCAAGGATAGGTTGGCAAGAGCATCGCAGGACTACTGGAAGAGGACAAGCCTATTGTTTGGGTTGCTGACACGACATGACGATCCACGATCTCACGTACGCGGCTAAGATAATGCAAATATATAGAACATATAGAGGGTGTGCTCGCAATCGTATCGATACTTATAGTTTGTGTTTCTTCTTGCCTGACGAGAGCTTCTGGAACTCCTGCTGCGGGATCCCCGAGACAAACCTGTCCAAGCCGGCGAATACTTCGGCGACGTTCTGCCTGTCGAGAATCTCCCGGTCGGGCTTCCGGATTAAGGCTTTGATGCCGACCAGGCTGTCGCCGTTTAAGTGGTCGCCTAGGCTGTCGTCGATCTCCTTGAAGACCAGGCGGAGGAAAGCGTCGGTGTCGCCCTCGGGGCAGTCGAAAACCTTGTTGGCGAAGCCGGTGCGCAGGAGGTCCTCGCTCGAGATGCGCTTGCTCTGGATGAGGGCCTCGTTGGCCTTGCTGATGCCGAGGCGCTGGACGAGGGCGTGGGAGGAGCCGCCCTCGGCGACGAGGCCGAGGGAGGAGAAGGGCGTCAGCAGGAAGGTGTGGGGCGTGCAGTAGACGAAGTCGGCGAAGGCGACCAGGGCGGCGGAGAGGCCGATGACGGGCCCGTTGAGCGCGGCGACCAGGATCTTGGGGTGCGTGTAGAAGGCCTGGGTGACGTTGAGGTTGTTGGACACGAAGTCGCGCAGCCAGCGCAGGTACACGTCGGACGTGGCCGGCTCGCCGGCGGAGATGCTGGAGGTATTGGCGCCGCTGTGTCGCGTGATGAGCCTTCGCCGGTGGAGGATGGGGGGTCGTGGGGGGACTTACGCGGAGAAGTATCGGCCCTTGCCAGTCAAGACAGTGATGTAGATATCCTCGCGGCGGGCAACCTCGCGCATGGCCTGGGAGAGATCGTAGTAGTCCTTCAAGGAGAGGGCGTTGAGCTTCTTCTGGTTATCGATGGTAATGGTGGCGATGCGGCCGGCATATTCGACCTTGATTACGCTGGCCATGGCTATTTTCGAGTCTTCTCGTGCTGGTTAGGTGTCCTTGTGTATTGCCGTTCGCGGCCCGTAGGCATCGACCATAACGACTCGCGTCTCTGTCCTGCGTGCGAAGTTACCACCCGACCTGGGCGGAGAAGGGCACACGAGCTGGCTGCTTGGATCCCGGGAAAGACAGACGATAGATGGGGGGATATCAGCGCTATATGTAGACAGCATGAAGGATCTGTTGGAAAGGCAGGTTTACTGCTGATGCTCTCCCTCGCTCGGAACGGCGTCCAATGGACAACAAAGCGTTGACGTTTCCTCCCCTCCCCGGTTGCCATGGAGGGAGTGGGTACAATACAAGCCTCGGCTCGCTCGTCGCAGGCGGACGCAATAACATCGGGACGAGCTCAATGCACGCAACTCGGCCGCGATCCTCGGGCAGGGTGAGAGGGAGGGAGATGCTTGAAGGTAGCACTTGAGGGGACCCTGGCTTTGCCGTGGCACGCGAAGGCCACTAGGATGGATTCCCCGCGATGTGCTCCAGCCAGGGCTGTTAGCCTACTTGGGTACGTAGGTACATAGTACCCATGTAATAGCCGCGCAACCGCGGTAAGGGGGCATTACGAATAGGAATAGTCAAGTGGAATTTACGCTGGGGGAGTCGATTAGTCTAATTGTACTCATAGTGGCTGCTACAGTGAGAGTACTTGGGTACATAACATTGGTTACATCGTCCCCGTCGGTCCCTGTCGCGCCGCACCCATCGGATATTATTATAGGTACTATAGGTACCTACAACAGGCACCTAAGGGAGCCGGTCGGTTCCCTATCGTGGGGAGACGCCTATATGCGTAGGTACCTACTACGTACCTAGGTGGCATCAATAGACACCTCACAATAAACACAGTAGGTACCTAACATGCCTGATGTACCTAATATTGCCGTCTATAAGTCCTATTGCAGGTACCTCCTAGGATGTATCTATACCTACGGGGGGTAGTCGCGTTATGTACATATAATAGACGCGAAAATATGCCTATACCGGATAGGCAGGTATGCACAGTACGCAGCTGTCCCGGCCGGCCTCTTTTTCCACAAAAGGGAAAAAAAAAAAAAAGCAGACGCACACAAAAAAAAAGACATCCGCGGGTCTCCCTCACTTTCCCAGCCCTAGGCCCTTCAAGCGCCAGCCCGCCGTGGACCAGCCCGGAATAGCAACGCCGACGAGAACGCCAACCCGAGGCTCGTCCCCGTCGACTTGCTCAGCTCGCTACCGGATTCCCCCACCGGACACACCACCCAAAACCACATGACCCCTCGACCATGCTGTCCCGCCAGCTGCTCCGTCGCCCGCGCCTCGCCGCCCGGGTGCGCCGCGTCCGCGCCCTGTCGTCGCCGCACACGCCGCGCTTTTCCAGCACCGAGACGCAGGGCCAGGCGTCGTGGCGGGCGGCCGTGAAGGGCCCGCTCGTGCCCTACGCCGCCGGCCTAGCCACCGCTTCTCTCGTTGCGTATGTGGTGGGGCGGGCCCGCGAGCCGCAGGGTAGCGCCGCCGCCGCCGCCGCCGTCTCAGCCCCGTCCCCGGCACCAGAAGTCGGAGCGACCCCGGCTGATGACGGGGGCATCCCGGACCTCAACGCGCTAGGCATGGCCGGCGAGATTACGCTCAGCCCGCCGGCGTCGGCGGCAGACGTGACGCGGGTGCTGAACGCGCGCGCCTTCTCGCGGGGCGGGCGCGACGGCGTGGCGCGGTACGACGGCGCCCAGGTGGCGTCGAACGAGCCGTGCGAGGACACGTTCCTGCACGGCAGCCTGTCGACGCCGTTCGGTGCCGGCGACTGGCTGACCTGGGCCGTCTTCGACGGGCACTGCGGCTGGCAGATGTCGGACCTGCTGACGCGGGAGCTGGTGCCGTACGTGCGGCGGGCGTTCGCGGCGGCGGGGCCGACGGCCGACGAGGGCGCGGTCGAGCGCGCGCTCCGGGACGCCTTCACGGCGCTCGACGACGCCGTGGTCCGGACGGCGGCGGCCACCGTCGACAGCGACCGCACCTACGCCGATAAGGCTCGCCGGCTCGAGGCCGCGTACGCCGGCGCGTGCGCGCTGCTCGCCCTCTTCGACCCGGCCACGCGCACGCTGCGCGTGGCCTCGACGGGCGACTGCCGCGCCGTGCTCGGCCGTCGCGCCGCCGACGGCACCTGGGCCGCCACGGAGCTCACGACGGACCAGACGGGCGCGAACCCGGACGAGGCGGCGCGGCTGCGCGCCCAGTTCCCGAACGAGCCCGAGGTGGTGCGCAACGGCCGCGTCTGGGGCATGCAGCCGTCGCGCACGTTCGGCGACGGCATGTGGAAGTGGCCGTCGGCGCTTAAGAACAGGCTGCGCGACGACTACAACGGCCAGAACCTGCCGTCGGCGGCGCGCTACGGCGCCTACCGTGACGGGCCGTACCTGACGGCGGAGCCGGCGGTGACGACGGCGCGGATCCCGGACGCGGAGCCGTCGTTCGTCATCCTGGCGACGGACGGGCTGTGGGACACGATGGAGAGCGGCGACGCGGTCGACCTCGTCGGCCGGTGGCTCGACTGGCAGGCGCGCGGCGGCGCGGCGAAGCCTGAGGAGGAGGGGAAGGGGGAGGGGGAGGGGGAGGGGCGGCAGGACTTCGGCCCGACGATCCTCGGCCGTATGCAGCTGTGCAAGTACGAGCCGCGCAAGGCGGCGCTGCGCGACGCCAACGCGGCCGTCCACCTCGTGCGCAACGGGCTCGGCGGCGCCGACGACGAGACGGTGCGCGGCGCGCTGACCTTCCGGTACCCGAACTCGCGGTTCATCCGCGACGACATCACCGTCCAGGTCGTGTTCTTCAGCCCCACCCAGGTAGGGCCGCCGCCGGCCCCGGAGGGGGCTAGCAGGTGAAGACCCTGCTATATAAAAACGATACACACGGCCGCGGCTGGATTGATAACCCCCCGCTGCGTCTTTTTCACCTGTCCGAAGACAGCTTTTCCCACCATTCCTTTTCCGTCTCGCTCGAGAACGGTTAGGCCTTCTCCCTCCGCACCCGGACGGCGCAGGAGATGGATAGGTGAGGGGGAAAGTTGGGTAAGAGATAGGATGTAACGCGATGTGGCGGCGCGGGCGGTGAGAGGGAAGTAGGGGGAGGCCGCCCGAGCCTCGATATCCGGCACAGACATGGAGGCGGAGTTAGTCCGGAGAAGCCATCGGGCGTATGCTGTCCCGGCGCAGCATGTATATTACGGGTCTAGTCCTCGCGACCAGACGCATCCACGAATCGATGCGAAATGAATCCCCGCGCCACCGGCGTCTCGAGGCGCTGACCTGGCTGGATGGGAGGGGCCTGGCTGTGGTGTAGACAAGACGATCACGACATCCGTGTCGGTAGGTAGTCGGCCGCTATGGCAGCTAGGGTAGTTAGTCAATGACGATTCGGTATTACGAGGCGCTGTCGCTATTAGACTATCGTTCGAGACTCTATCAGCGACGTACATCCGGGTCCCCAGGTCTTAGGGCGGGCACACACCGCGTAGGAAGTAGTGATGCCTCAAACAAACGTAAATCGATGTGAATACGTTCATATATATTGTGCGGAGACGTGGTGCCTTCCGTGCTATGTGCCTAACTAATATCGCTGCATACCTATCTGACCTTACCCCTTCTGCCCTTCCCTTTCCCTCCATTTCGCTCTCCCTCCCCTCCCCTCCCCTCTCCTCCCTCATCTCTCCGTCTTCCGGGCCGCTCACGGCGCGTCCTTGTAGAGCTCGACGACCTCGTCGCGGTGAGCGGCGAGATGCTCGGGGAAGGAGCGGAAGGTGAGACCGAAGCGCTCGCGGACCTGGGCGACGATAGCGTCGTCGCCGTCGACGAGGCGGCCGGCGTTGAGGCGGGCGAGCTGGCCGGCGACGAAGGGGTCGCCGGGGGCGCGGGCGCGGGCCTCGTCGGGCGCGTAGGTGCTGACGCGGAATGTCTTGCCGCCAGCGGCGGCGCCGAGGTCGGCGAGGATGCGCGCGACGGTGCGCAGCTCGGCGACGAGGGGGGTCTCGAGGGCGCGGCCGAGGCGCGCCGGGTCCGCGAACGCCGCCGCCGCGGCGCGCCCGATGTCCGCCGGGTCGACTAGCCCCGCCACGAAGTCCGCCGGCATCGGCGTGCGCAGCGTCCCCGTCGCCAGCAGCCCCGCCACCTGGAACCGCGCCGACGCCGCGTCCGTGTAGTTGCTCATGAACTCGGCCGGCCGCAGGATCGTGTAGTAGTCGAAGCCGGCGCCGCGCACGAGCGCCTCGGTCTCGGCTGCGTTCCGGGGTTAGAGGGGTTAGCGCGGGAGAGACCGGGCGGGGAGGGGGAAGGCGGGGACGGCGGGAAGGCTACTCACCCTTCGACACCCAGTACGCCGTCGAGAACGCGCTCGCGTCCCATCCCGCGAGCTCCTCATAGCGGTCCACACCACCCACGCTACTGTACACGAAGTGCCGGACGCTGGGGCTGGCGCGCGCGGCCGCGACCACGTGGGCGGCGCCGCGGCGCTCCGCCCCCAGGTCCGTGAACGACGGCGCCGAGACGAAGAAGACGCCGTCGACGCCGGCCGCCGCCCGCGCCAGCTCCGCCGGCGCTCCCGCCGCCTCCCAGCCGCCGCCGACGAACAGCTCCGCGCCCTGCGCCGCGAGCGCTACCGCCGCGGCCGCCGACGCGTCGCGCACCCAGGCCCGCACGCCGTGCCCGAGCGACAGCAGCGCGCGCGCCGTCGCGCCGCCTTGCTTGCCGGTGGCGCCGAGGACGAGGACTTTGACCATGGCTGCGGCCGGGGGTAAGGAGAGAGGGGTGCTGGTGCTGGTGCGGAGGTGCTTCTTTCTCGGCTTCTTGGTTTCGGATGCTGTGCGCTCGGGGTAGGCAAAGCGCAGGTAAGCTTGAGGGAGACGATGAGGGTTACGATGGGATGTGAGTGACGGGCAGGAGAGCGGCGTCGAGGCGGCGCGCTGCCGCTATCCTTATACGCGCGCCCGTCTGCTCGCGCTCGCCTTTCCCCCTGGTCCGTCGCCCATCACGTCACGACTTCTCGTGATGGCGCGCGACCCAGCACGTCTCTGCTGCCGAGCGGGCAGCGTCGCGCCGTCTCACCAGTGCGGCAGACGCTGCGCACCTGGCCGTCCTGGAGACGCCTCGGTGGTCGCCGTGCAAAATCTCGCCGTGTTGTCGTCGACGCGGCGCCTGGGGTTCGCCCGCCCGCGATGGCAACCCCATCCCCGCCTAGGATAGCGCAGGGGGGGTAAAGGGGCACTGAGCGCCTGGGCCTGCTGGGCGGAGTGATAGCAAAGGCGATGTGGGCCTCGGACCCCCCTGCAGGGAGGGAAAAGGGGGGGGAACCGGGGATCCTCGTGGGGTTCGGCTCGCTGTTGAAGACCATCCGCGTCCGGCCTAGCCAGCGACTTGGTGAGACTGGCTTATTCTGCTCGCCCCACCGACTTTGCTGACCTCGGAATTCGTCGATGGACTTGGCGTAGAACCGGAGTCGGAAACTGTGTGTCCTCTCTTATTTTCGGGTTTCTGTTACGAAACGATTATTTCAGGTACTTTTTATTTTATTTTCATTCAACACTATGTAACTACTTATGAATAGTATTGCTATTCATTTTCATTTCTTATCACCTATCTGCTTCTCAGTGCTGGTCGAAGCAGACGGACGCGGTAACCCCTCCTCTACCGGGAGGAATAACGATCCTACCCTCGTGTATTGGGGTGACATCTTTGTTCTCCTTCGCCCTGCTCTCCAGAGAACATGCATAGGATGACCATCCATCCCCGGCCGCGGTCGCAGACATCTGCTGGCTCCGCAGCGGCGGCCAGTTCAAACAGGAAGTCAGGCAGCAGCATCTACGGGACCTCCCCGGGGCTTGCACAGTACCAGCCTGCCTCGCTTACCAGTGTACCGCAACGCTGGTCCAAGCCGCCCACCCCGGACGGGCGTTGTCGATTATCTTCGTCCCCAATGCCGACACAGCCGGGCACGCTTACCGCCTTAGCTGGCTGCCTAAACCAGGACGGGCTTGTCTGGCTTGCCTTGCTACGTCACGTGTGCATGCACTTCGTCCTTGTGGGCATCTTGCGTAGGTAGGAGGGACGTGTGTGTCTGGCTCTTGGCGCGTATATACACGTGTATATCTTCATCCTCCCTTCATCCTGCTCATCTTCACGTGCGCGCCCGTTCTTCCCGGTGCAGGGCCGGCAACCCCAAAGCCAAAAACTGCCCGCGAAGGGGAAAGGGGAGGGGGACGGGACGGGGCGGAGCGGCAGACGCCCTAGACGACGTTCGAGATGCTCTCGCGCTCGATGACGCTGTTCTGGCGGTCGTCGCGCTTGACGCGCCAGAAGTAGTCGCAGAAGTCGGAGCAGCGCATGTGGCGCAGGAACTCCTCGTCGTGGGTGATGACGATGAGCTGGAAGTTGGCCTGCGCCTTGCGCGCCTTGATGATGGCGTGCAGGCTCTCCGCCAGGCTGCGGATGTTGTCGCGGTCCAGGTTCGTCGTCGGCTCGTCCAGCGCGATCAGCCCGCACCCGATCCCGAACGACTCCGCCAGCGCCAGCCGGATGATGATGGACGCCAGCACCTTCTGCCCCGCCGAGCACCGCCCCCGCATGTCCATCTCCGTGTCCTGCTTCACCATGCACACCCGGTAGTTGTACGAGCTCCGCCCCGTCGCCGTCTCGCTGTCCGACTTGATCAGGATCGTGTCGATGTCCGTGCCCTGGTACGTGCTCTGCCACAGCTCCCCCGCGATCCGGTTCACCTCTTCCATCTTGAGCGCGTGGTACTTCATGATGGCGTTGTTGAGCGCCGCCCCGTACTTGCCCAGGTCCTCGATCGCCGCCTTCGTCGTCTCGACCTTGATATGGGTCTCGCGATATTTATGCGCCGCTTCGCGGTAGTCCGTCTCCCACTCCTGGAGCAGCCGCGCCAGCTCCTCGTCCTTCGACCGCATCGTCCCCATCGTCGAGCCTCGCTCCGCATTCATCACGTGCCGCTGAGACTCCCATAGCTTTGCTTCTCTGTCGAGACGTTCGTAGTCTTCGTTCGCGTTGCGCGATTCGAGCTCCTCAATTTCCTCCCTCAGCCTCTCGATGTCGCGGATAGTCTTGCGATAGTTAAGATTGTCCAAAATATTCTTCTTGTTTCCGGCGCTGGTGGCAATCTCCTCCTTGAGCTTGTTAGTGCGCGCGGCGAGGTCGTTCATGTCCTTCTCGATACGTTTAATGCTCTTGTCGAGCGCTTGAATCGCCCGCTCATTTGCGGCGAGGAGTGACGGCCCGCCGCGGTCAAGGTAGTCTTGTATATCCGTGTTGATCAGTCTCAGCTCGTTGGCCGATGCCGCGAATCCGTCTCGCTCGTCAGCGGCCTTCTTCTCTTTCGCGCGCCCTCTCTGTAGCGTATCTTCTCGGATAGTCCTGGCCTTGGCGATCTCGGGCATGACCGACGTCAATTCGTGATCTGCTTGCTGGATGGCCTCTTTCTGTTTGTTCATGTCGTCCTTCTGGGCCTCGATCTGGTCTTCAAAGTCTTTCTTCCTCTCGAGCTGACGAACTGCGTTGTTGATCCTGTTGCTCAATCGGCTCCGCTCGAGCTCTAGCGAGTTGATCAGGTCCCGCATGCGCTGCTTATCGCTCGACAATTTCGAAATGTCGCTCTTCACTGCGCGCATCTGCTCGGCGCATCTGTCCTGAAGCTCGTGGATCTCCTGGGTGCTTCGGACCGCACCGCTGGACTGTTGCTGGGTCATAATCCTCTCGACTTGGGCCTCGGCCTCCTCGATCTCTTTACATGTCTGAGAGATGTTGAGAACGGTCTTGCTCATGGACTCGAGATCTTGCTTCTCCTCTTGTTTTACCCGGACGACCTCGTCCATCTCTTCGACGCTCTGCACCATACTCTCTTCCCTCTCTGTTGCTACCCGGATCTCCCTATCGGACTCCTCCTTCTCCGCCATGAGTCGGGTGTAGAGTTCGCTTTGAGGACGCACTGCCCGCAGATTCCCCAGTAGCTCTTCGTACTCGGCTAATTCCGTTTGCATCTCTTCCTTCTTCGCGTCCTCGAGTGCTTCCTTGATCTTCCGAACCAATCGAGACTTGTCACCGGCATCAGCAAATGTGCGATCGCAGAGTTCACATCGGTTCTGCTTATTCAGTGTCTTCTGGCACTTCATGTAATACTCCTTCAAGTGTTCAAATAGTGTCATATCCTTCTCCAAGGTGAGGATCACATCCTCGAGACGTTCGATCTCGAGTGGTAGTTTATCAACGCTGGGCTCGGTCGTGGGATCTACCGCCTTCAGCGCTCCGAGAACGGCCGATTTGCATCGTTCTATCTCCTCGCCGCGCTTCTTGGCTTTCGCTTGTGAGCTTGAGCGTGTGAATTGCACTTGCTTGAATTGCTGGACGACATCGTCACGTTTCCGGGAGGCTTCATCATAGGCTTCATTCTTCAACTGAAGCGCCTTGTGGAACTCGCGGTCGATCGTCGACGGTTCCCACGAACCGTTTACCATGCTAGATATCTTACTACTCCACGTGCTGGTAAGCGTGTCCAATTTCCGTTTTTTCTCGACCAATTCCATCTTGCGGACGTCCAGCTGCGCCCGATCCGCCAGGAGTCGGGTGGATTCAACCAGTTCGCGACCCAGTTTGCTATTCTCGGCTTCGACCCGATGTAGCTTGCTCTCTTCCTCGCGCAGTCTCGCGTCGAAATCGGCCTCCTGCAAGTCCTGGGAAGCCTGTGCGAGTTGGCTCTCGACGTCTTTGAAGGATGAGTCCAGTAGCGCCTTGCTGCCTTCGTCAACCTCTACGGAGTTGAGGTCTCTCTGGAGAGCTGCGATTCGCTTCTCGATCTTGGCAATTGCCTGTCTTGCGAAAACGCGATTCTGCGTATGCTGAGCCTTCTGCCCTTCAAGGCCGGTGATCACCGCGCCCTTTTCGTCCAGGTCCCTGGCGTTCTCGCCCTGTAGATGTTCAAGCTCTCTTTTCTTATCGGCTAACAGCTTTTGGATCCGCTCCTGGAACGACTGCACTTTGCGATCATCCAGGTCGCCGTCGAAGCCGCGGATACTATGCAGCTCAGCTGTCTGGTGGATGTGCTCGACACGCGCGGCTAGCTGGCGCTCGTATTTCGCCTTATCGGACTGGTGCATGCCCTGCTCCGCCAACTTGCGTTGCATCTCGCTACGAGACTCGGTGAGGTTCTTCTGATACTGGTTGTATTGCGATATATTCGCCTGGAGGTCCTCTTGGTACCTAGATGCCCGCTCCTCGTGCTGCGTCAAGGCATCTTGCAACTGATCGTCGGACTCGGGCAACTCATCCATCCTGGACCTCGTGTCCTCCAAGTTCTCCTGTCGGATACTAAGCTGCTGCTTCTTGAATTTCAAGTCGTTGACGATGCTGAGAAAACTGTTCGCCTGTTCGTGCATTTCCCTAGCGTTCTGCTCCGCCATCTGCATCTTCTGGCGCAGTTCCTCGCACTTGTCCCTCAGCGTCTCTATCTCATTTTGTAGCGCGATAGAACGCTTCTCGCACTGCTCCCCCCTCTCCTTGTTCACCTTTTCCTGACTCTCGAAGATCTTCAGCTGTTGCAATTGCTCCCCTTGCTTCTTCCGCAGCATCTTGAGATTCTCAATCGCCTTGGTATACTTCATCGCCTCGAATATTTCGTCGAATCGTTTCTTGAGAGCAGCAGGCTCGCTCATCGGCCACAGAGACTCGTCTTGGTGGCAGAAGATGACGGCATCCAGTATTGCCGGGGCCACGCCCAAAGCGTTCGGGACGGCAGTGTCGAGGGCGATGACCTTGGAGGATGCCGAGTTCTTCTCACCGCCGCGGTCGGTCAGCAGGGTACCCTCCAGGGTCTTCTGCGACCGCGTAGTCTTCTTGACGGTGAGCTGCAGGCTCCGGGTGACAACATAGGTGGTCTCAGGCGGGACCGTGAACTTCAGCTTGACCTGTGCTAAAACCTCTCGCTCGCCGCAGAGCTTGGGGTCGTGGATGAAAGCTCCCCCCTTGCTGTTGGGGGGGAGCTCACCGGTGGTGGCATACTTCAAGCATTCGATTATGGTGGTCTTGCCCGAGCCGTTGTATCCGACGATGAGGGTGAGCGGGGTGTAGAACTGGATGGTCTCGCGCGAGAGGGGACTGAAGGAGCGGACACCTGAGATGGACAGCTTGTCTATCTTGGACATGGTGGTGGGTTGGACTACCGGCGGTTATTCGTGGGACAGGAGGTGGTGGTGGTCTCATAGCACGAGATGCATCCGGTGTACGAGGTAGCAATCTATTCCCGTGCCTCGTCGCGCGAAGCGAGCTGTTATTGGGTTGGGGAGGGGAGGGGAAATGGTATTTCGCGAGGAGGTAAACGAGCTTCTTCGGTCTGTAGAAAGCGACGCGTCATGATTCCTCGAGAGAGGAGAGAGGGAGCGGGGAGACGCGTTTGGCGGTAGGTTCGGGATGGAACGCTGGTCCGGGGTGGTGGTGGGGGTTGTAGCGAGGTTAGCGCTGCTAGCGAGGCATTTTAGCCAGCTTGGGTGCCTAGATAGGCTCGCCGATAGGGCAGAAGCCCGCTAACGTCCACTGTCAGGCGACCGAGGGCGGTGCGGTACCTGAGGTACATCCCGAAGGCACAACCCTAAGGCGCCACGAGACCGGGGGAGGGTACCGAATCCGTGTATCACCAGTGCAACACTGCTTCTAGCCACGTAGCCGCCCGAGGTACCTACAGGGAAACCCAGAGGCAAGGTTGCCCGAGAGGTAGCATCGAGGTTAGCTATCTTAGGTACCGCTGCTCAACCTACGGCTTGGTACACTCGCGGAACCTCACGAATTCCTCCATCTTCCCCTCCGCACCTGGTAAGGCGAGGCACCTGCGGTGGAACTGGTCAACATGGATGGGACTGGATACGTGCATGGATATACACCTACCCGTGGCTGCGAGGCGGTTAGCGAGGTGGGCCGTGTCATATATCAGAATGTTTGGCGCAAGTGCTAAAGGTTGGGATGTATGCATTTATATATATATAGGCACCTGATGGGGCTGTGGTTAGGTGCATAAGCCAGAATAGGTACCTAACCTGTAAAGCCAGGACGATCTGTGGATGGATGGAGAGGTGATGGCTGTAGCCGAGGCCAGCCCGATACCGACCTGTCTTATATGGCTTAAGCTAGTGCTGCTGTCCCCCGTGGTAATATATGCCTTAGGTACCTAAACACCGAGGGATGGAGCTAAGCGGGTAGATTTATGTCATCTGCCTCAGGTTAGGTACCTACCTAAAGTAATGCTATCTGCTTCTACCCTGCCTAATTACCTCTATGTACGCCTACGTACTTGGTAATTACGTGTATGATTCATCGGATCAGCTCCGCCCCCCTACATGTCCCTGTCCATTTCCCCCTTTGGCCCAGGTATATACATCGTTCTCCATACTGTCATACTTGACAGGTAGACAGTGGTATGTGTCATAATGCCGCTACGGATGGTAGGTGGAAGCCTCATCGTCTGAGTGGATTTTGCCTGCGTCTATCCGCGGCTCGCCGCGCATTACGCGGGTTACGTATGCACCGAGATTTATCTATACCTTATCCAACCTATGAGTACGTTCGGGGCTTGCGGCGACAGTTACGTAATCAACACCCCACCAAGACGCCTGTCGAGGTGTCGTAGGTATGTAGGTACCTACAGGTACCTCTCATACATGCTGCAATAACAGCGGCCGTGGGTGGCGGACAAGAGGTACCTACAGGTAACCAGAACAGCGTTCCTCTTCCCCCCTTCGGAGCTCGAACATCGCCGTGTCCACTTCGTCCTCCCTGCTATGGAGGCGGGCTGGGTGTGCACGCGAGGTCAGGCGCCTCAGTTGAGACGGGCGTGCCCTCAGGACTTTACTCCGAGGGACGAGTGGGATGTAAGTGGGAACCGTCGGGGGTTAGCTGCGGTACCAGGTCCGGCGGTCAGGTTGACTTGCCTATGCCTGTGCTTTATTTACCTACCTACATCATCTACCTACCTACATCATCACATCCCGTGCGGGTGGCCTTGGGCACCTCTCCGGCAGGGGAAGACATGTGCTGCGGCCCCAGGCGTCAGATCCGAGGTAGGTAAGAGGGAGGGAGAGGGAGAGGGCAGGCCATGCGGCAGCCAGCCAGCCTTAGGTACAGGCCCTCCACCTTGCCTCTGCATGCATACACGCCTCACGTATGTATGTACATGTGCGTGTGCTGTGTAGGTATGTGTGTGTATGCAAGCAAGTCTGGAGGAGGCAGCAAGCGGGCCCAGGACAGGGCGCCCAGCCTGAGGCACATAATCGACCTCTTTTCGATGCCTGCGTGCCGACACATGTTCTACATCCGTCCGTCCCAGCCCAGGGCGAGGTGCGGATCCGGGTGCCAGCTTCGACACAAGGCGACTTGTCTACGGTAGGTAGGGGTAGGGGTTGGTAGAGCTATTCCTGAACTTCGCGATAGCGTAGGTATAATACAGACACACCCCTCACCCTCCCCTCCCCTCCCCGTCTTCTCCCCTCCTCCTCTCGTCTAGCCTTCTCTGCCGCCCGTGTTGCCTCTCCACCTCTTAACCTCTTATACCTACCAATATGCCCACCACGAACGCACACCTCCTAGCCTCCTAGCCTCCTGGCCCCCTACATGTCTCGACTACCTACGCACGCTGTGTACATGCACGCCGCCCACCCACACACCTGCGGACGGGGGGCCCGCAGCCATGCCGGGTGCTGTGGGCGGGCGCTGGCGACAGATCCAGTCCTAGACTCACCTTCCGTACGGGTACAAGCACACAGCGTGGATCCCACCGCTGCATTCCCGCACGTCTCAACGTCACACGGCAAATCCAGTTTGTCCACAGACATCGAGAAAAATGAAATCCCATCTGGCGTCTTCGATTTGCCCCTTCCCATCCGTGTATCTATCCCATATCCCATCCTACCCACCAACCCACCGCTGCATCCCCCCCCCCCTCCCCCTCCACCATCCACCATATCCATCTGCTCATCCACTCACCAACCTGCCCACATACGTGCCATCGACTCTCAATACCTACATATCTCCATGCGTATCTCGAGATATCTAACCTGCCTCCCTGCTCCCATACCTCACTCCCTCGTATATCGACCCTCGGGAGGCATTGCGAGTATTGCCTAGGATCCCTTCCTGCTGCTTGACCGGTCTCGTTTCCTTCGCTCTCCTCGCCATCCTCCTCAGACCGAGTACCTGACCTCTTCCGCCTATATATCTCCTTTCGCCCTTTTCTTTTCTTTTCTCCTTTTTGCTTTCTTTCTCTCTCCTCCTTTCTCTCTCCTCTCCTTTCTTTTTCTAAAAAAAGAAAAGAACATCCTCGGCTTCTCTTTATGAAAGGGACAAGCCTCGCAACTAGATCCGGCTCAATGTGATGTGATTTACTAAGTAACTGGATGCCTGAGTGATTGATTGATCTAATCTGTCCGCCCGTTTGTTCGCCCTCTCATTCGTTGCTCGAGTGACCCGATGCTCTCGCTGCACAGATCTGAGCGCTTCGGGTTCTCCTGCAAGAATCACCTCTCCATTGCCTCGCATTCGACAACGGATCAGGTCCAGCTTGCCGCCGCCACGACCCACTCGCGCCATCATGGACCACGGGCCGCCGCCGCCGCCAAACCCCAACAGCATGTTCGACTTCTCTGCGCCGGCTTCGATGAACCCGGTGAGTGTTCCCGACATGCCTGTAGGCCCTCAGAAGAAGATCCGTGGTGTCGCTGTTTTCCTACCCAGACTGTCTAACGGCAAGCGCGGCAACAGATGACCAACAGCGGCCAGAACGACCTGATGTCGCTTTATGATAGCTCCCTATTCGCAAACTTCGAGGGCCTGCCGATGAGCATCGACGGCCTCGGCGACGTCGGAGCGGTCCCGCCGCCGCATTTCCCACCACCGTCGGCCGCAGGAGTGAACCCGCAAGCGGCGCTGGTGCCAAACGGTGCTGCACCATTTGCGTCCGCTGCCGATGCCAGTTCCGGGCCCCCGCCGTCCACAGGTATAATAACTCCGAGCTTCGTCGCCCCGCCTCAACCCAGCGCACAAGGAGGGAGCACTCTGACCGAGTTCACCAAGAGGAGGAATTGGCCCGCCAAAGTCATCGAGGAGTTGAAGGACTTGCTTCAACTTCTGGACGCCCACGGGAGAATTAAATACGTATCGCCAAGCGTTTTACCCCTGACTGGCTATAGGTCGGAGGAGCTCGTCGACCGATTTGTCAAAGATTTGATCCATTCAGACGACGTCGGCACCTTCACCACCGAGATGAACGAATCTATAGCTACGGGCAACCCTTTGCGCATGTTTTACCGCCTCAAAAAGAAGGATGGCGATTACGCCATCTTCGAGTCCGTCGGGCATGCCCACATCGCCGCGGCGAGATTCGCGCCGAATCCGGAGAACCAATCCCCGTTCTGCCAGGCCGTATTCATGATGTCGCGTCCCTATCCGACCAGGAATGCGTCGTTGCTGGACTCCTTCCTAGAACACAAGATTGAGAACGAGAGGCTGCGGCGAAGAATCGCGGAGCTGAGGAGGGAGGAGGAGGAGGAGGAAGCGTCTCAGCAGAGCTGGTTAACCAGTCAAGAGGGCCGATCCGACATTACTCCGTCCGACGACACCATAATTACCTCTTCGCAGAGCCCTGCCGTGTTTACCCAACCAGCGGTGGTGGACTCGCAGGCGATGCCGCCGCCGGAACGACCGACGCCGCTCAACATAGCTTTGACGAGAGAAAATCTCGAAGGTGTCACGGCAGGGAACCGGCCGGATTCGATCAGAGATAAGATGGCGAGATACGAGGGTGCATCGCATACTGAGACTATCGAGATGCTGACCGGCCTGAGATACGTGGAAGGGGAGCGGAGTCGCGGTATCACCACGGGCAATTCTAGCCCGACTCTGATCAAGGGCGATGTGGGTATCGCAATCCCGATAGACAGAGACCCCAGAACGGGCGAGAAGAAAAAGAAGATCAAAATCGCCGAAGAATACGTCTGCACCGATTGTGGTATGTATCACGAAACCGTATAGGCTACAGGTGGTCACGACCCCATGCTGACACGGAACTAGGGACGCTTGACTCTCCCGAGTGGAGGAAGGGCCCCAGCGGGCCCAAGACGCTCTGCAACGCGTGCGGCCTTCGGTGGGCGAAGAAGGAAAAGAAGAGAAATGCCGGCGGCGGCGGCGGCAATGCCGGCCCTGGACCGCCAGTGCCCATGGCCGAGCCGTGAGCTTCTTAGGTAATACGGTATGAGCTGACCTTTCTAGCTGGATATTATCGTCCTCAGACGTTATCGGTATATATTAGATCTCGAGGCCTGCGGCGTATGGGGAATCATTGTGGGGAAAACGACGTGCTTAGTTTGTTTGGGACCTTTTGGCAGATTCTGCTCGGGACACGGTGGGCAAGACAAGGCAAGGCAAGGCAAGGCAAGGCAGGCTTGGTGTTGGGACAAAATCGGCGGTACCGGTTTGGTTGTGTTCTTTACGACTACTATCTTCCTCTTGATGATCCTCTTCTCCCTACCCCTCCCTACTCCCCCTCTCCTAACGTTTTTTCTCTGATGTTTCCATTCTCGAGATACCTAGGACGTGAGGGACGTGGGTTTGCTATAACCATGGGATTTTTATTTCGCCACGTCTTGCAAGGCAACGAAATATGTGGATTCTCTCTCTCTCTCTCTCTCTCTCTCTTCCTTGCTTTTTATTATTGTTCTTAGACGTATACGTACATCGCGAGGAAGTAATCGAGAATGCTAATGCAGATTTCGTCACTCTTGTCTCCTATCTTCGCCTCTCCTTGGGGTGTCTGGTTTCGATCCCTCTATTTCTCTGCCACTCATTCGCTCGCTTTCACTAGACTAACGAGAGGGACGGCGTTGGAAATCTTTGCAGCCGGACCCGTAGTGGCGGTTGTCTTAGGTTTTCACACTTTAGAGACGGGTCTCTTGTTCATGGGCACCGGGCAGTCTTATATCAATAAACGGCTTTCCTTAGAAGCGTCATGTATCGCGCCGGCAGCCCCTGCCATAGAGGCAGAACTCACGGCTAATGATAGTATGGGACTCGGCGAATCTACATTTCATGATGGCAGTTGGTCGTGGGCAGTTAGATAGTTGTCTGCTGCCCGACCTCTGCCTCTCAGCTGGATGATGAAAACCTAGCTAGCTAAGCATCTAGGTAGCATATTCTTTAGTGTGCTCTCTGTGCGTATCCGCCTATTTGGACAGGAACTTGGAAGCCAGACTGAAGATGGCAGAGCCTGAGCTCGACGACTCGGACTGGCCCTTGCCTTGACTCTTGAGGTACATTTTCAACGCAATCTCGCCGGCCTGCATCACGGCCGACTCCTTACTGGCGCCGCTAGATACCTTTCCTTGCGACGACTTCTGGTCGAAGAGCTGCATGGGCCGGTCAGAATAGAGTACGTAGTTGGCAGACGCCCGAATTGCTGGGACTGCCGATTATGGACAGCCCGGGGTGGAAAGGGGAGGGAAACGTACCTTGCTGGCCTCGGCCATGGCGAGACCTATAAACGCGCTCTGGCTGTTGTTCTCCTGGGCATAGCTGTCAGCCCACCTCTCTCCTCTCCTCGCGCCCAAGCGACGCGCGACGTACCTGGGAGTTGCCGGACTGGCCGCCGGTGAACATCTTGAGGGCGTGCATGGCGGCGGCGGAGCCCATGCTCCTGTCGTCGGCGTCCTTGTCGTCGTCGTCGTCCTTGTCAAAGTAGCGCTTGTGCTGCCTGACGGCGTCTTCCTCGTCGAGGTCGTCGTCGTCCTTCTTGTCGACGAAGGCCTGCTTCTTCTGGGTGAGGGCGCCGAGCAGGCTCGAGAAGAGGTCGCGGTCGCCGGACGAGCCCGCGTGGCGACTCGCGTGGTCGGCGGCGCCGCGGATGTCGTCGTCGTCGTCGTCCGGACGCGCGTAGCCGCCCGCTGGGTACGCGCCGCCGTGGGTCACTGCGGTTGGGTCGCCACCCCCTCGAGAGTCAGAAGAATGCAACCAGCGAGCGAGCGAACGAGCACGCGCGCGCGCGAAGGGAGGGAGGGGGGGAGGAGTCTGGGCGGTGGCCACGGACGCCCGTCGGCAGACCGGTCTTAGCCACGAGCGGCCCAGTCCCACGGCTGCCGACTTATCACGGCACATATGCACTCACCATTGCCGCCGAGATCTAGATACGGTTACATCGCGGGCACCAATAGTCAGCTTAGGGACCGCCCTGAGGATCACGAGCGGGGCGAAAAGGGGGTGGAGAGAGAGGAGGAGGGGGAGGATGGAGGGGGGGGGGAGGGGAAGAGGGGTTACCTGGCTGTCTCTCCCCGCGGCGGTCGTCATTGTCGTCTCTGCCGATGCCGAACATGTTGATTCGAGATTTGGGTAGGGTTGGGCAGCGGAGGGTAGGATGGGACTGGACTGTCTATGGCTATTTGATAACGATGGATTGTTTATTCTCTCTTTCTTTTTCTCCTTGCGACGAAGGGGGGGATCAGGGTCGGACTCTGCGAGGGGGGAGAGAGGGAGAAGGGGTGTATATAGGATCCATGTTTTCAAGGCAGGGGGGTTTTTCTTAGGTATTTATTCGTCGGGGGGCCTCCAGTACCTAAGATATCCCGCCAGCCGGTACATTTAACTACTCGCCACCCGCCCTGCCCTCTCGATAGAGACGGGAGGTAGAGGGCTGTGCCCCAGGTATCCCCCAGGTACTCAGCGGAGGTCGCTTGGGGGAGGGCTCCTATGCAGGCCCACTAGAGAGGTAGCTTAGGTGCCGAACTTGCGTGGCCTTATGGCCTTATACCTGCTAGAGCAGGCCTGAGACGGCGATGCTATAGGCAGGCCTTCACTTAGCGAAGCTTGGAACGGACCTAGCCAAGCTGAACGCGCCCGCAGCTCGCCCAGTCGATGTTCCCCTTCCTCCCCTGCTGCCGCCGCCGGATAAGGGCCAGACCAGGTTACCAGACCAGACCTATTGGATGATGACGTGTGCGGGGTACTAAACGAACGGGATCCCAACTGGGACACCATGTGTTGGCGTACCTGATGTACCGCGCATGCTACCTGATGTAGTCTGCCACCTCCGCGCCGTGCCGGGTCACTTACTGATCTACGTTGGGTACATTGTGTAGGTACGCGCCCGTGCATCTGGGAGGTCGCAATGCGCAATGCCATGAATTGGACGAGACGGCGGCCCCGCGGTGCATCTACATGGTATTATGCGCCTATAAGAGGCTGCCTGCGGTATCGTATACGTATAACCTCCATCCTACTAAAGGTAGAAACGTATGTAAACGCCGCCGCTTTATGTGCTAGAGGTACGCTCGCGTGCGCATATTCGCATATAGTAGGCGTAGGCACCTAACCGAACGGATTCGACTTATCCTACCTGGCCTCACAGACTTATCCTGTCGAATATTGGGCAGCTCGTCTTTCTCCCTCACTTACCTCAACCTATCTCTCCCTTCCTCACTCTGTCTCCCCCTTTCTCCCTCTCTCTCCTTTCCCCATCTCTCTCCCCCTTCTCCATCTCTCTTCCCCTTCTCCATCTCTCTCTCTTTTCCTCCCCCCCCGTCTCTCTCTCCCCGGCTTGCTGTCGTCGATGGGACGCTAGAAAGCCTTCAATTGCTCACCCGACCGATACCCCAATCACTCTACCCGCTCCAAGTTTTCTGCGGCCGATTCTGCATGCATACCAAACATACATCATGCTCCCCGTGCCTTGTGATATCTGCGCGTGGCTGTCTTGGATGACTGTGCTCGTCGTTTCAGCTCCCCGTCGATTCATACTACACACACATACCCAACCCAGGTCCCTAGTCGTCTCGTCATGCCCGGTGTGTCGAGGGTTGTATCGTGTCATGGTCACGCCAGCCGCCGGGGAGCAACCCCCCCTATTTACCACAGCATTGTCCATTGCGATCATATAATAGCACATATCTTACCCGCGTCAGTCGCATCGGCTAGTTCTGGCTCTGTCACCTCCAATTCATACATGAATGCTTACCCAGCCATGCGTGCGACTCGCTGGGTGTGGACTTCGGCATGGAGTCGACTTTGACAACAAGTAATATGTAGCGCGTCGGCTCCCAACTCTACATCGTGATGCTTTGCATGGAACGAAGGCATCCTCTCCCCAATGGCTTTTTGGGGGAGGGCGCTATTGTCGTGACCTGACTATCCCCTCTAGACATGCGAGGTCATCCTGCCCATGATAGGCGAGCACCGATGGGACGCTACGGTATCATCGAAGTACGTGACGCTTGAGGTAGGGGCGTTAGCCAGACCCGAGGGCCTGAAATCTGGGGGATTGTTCACATCTCCAAATTGCGACCCGGGCGGGTCTGTTTCCGCTGAGGCATAAATCCTCCATGACGTCGACCGGCTATCCGGAATCGTAAATCCCGGGTGTGCCTCTATCATATCTCGTTTAACGCACATCGATATCCTACGAGGTCTCGGGGCCATGGATGGAGAGACGGAACATGTGGATGTGCTCGTCGTCGGAGCCGGTCCGGTGGGTCTGATCACGGCATTCCAGCTTGCCAAGTTTGGAGGTGCCTCTGGCGTGCGCATCGTCGAGAAACAGGCCAAGTCGATGCAAGACGCGTACGGCCGTGCCATTACGCTTTTTCCTCGGACAAGCGAGATGCTTGACCAATTGGGCCTCGCCGACGACCTGCTGCAGGATTGCTTCGCTTGCCGCGACACGGTGGCTTACGATGCCCGCGGCCAAGAGGTTCACGGCCGAGGATGGAGTTTCATGCGTGAGATGAAGGACACCTTCTTCAATTTTGCCCTCGTATTGCGGCAGAAGTTCCAAGAGGAGATATTCAGAAACGCGATGAAAAATTACGGCGTGCAAGTAGAAGCCCCAGTCGAGTTGACCGCTGCTTCGGTTGACCAAGACGTCGCCGTTGCAGACCATCGGGTTACGACAGTCCTCCTTAACCACCTCGACGGCACATACCGGACGGTGAAGTGTAAATATCTGATAGGCTCCGACGGGGGACGTTCGTCTGTCCGACGACTGTTCGATATCCCTTTCGACGGCTCTACGAGCGAGGATAAGTGGGTGAGAGTAGACGGCCAGGTCAAGACCGACATGCCAAAGCCTCGTACCTACTGCTCCGTCGAGTCACCGACGCACGGGAACGTGCTTTGGGTCGCTCTCGATCACGGCGCGACACGAATAGGGTATGCATTTACCGGCGATCGAGCCAAAGCATACTCCCGGTTCGACGAGGCCGCTGCTGTAAAAGAGGCCATTGCGGCCATGCGGCCTTTTCACATCGAGTTCGAGCGTGTCGACTGGTGGACTATATATACCGTAGGGCAGCGTATAGCCAGAAGCTTTTTTGCTCACAGTTGCGTCTTCCTTGCTGGAGATGCCTGCCATACCCACTCGTCGGGCGCCGCGCAAGGGATGAATACCGGCATTCATGATGCCGTGAATATCGCTTGGAAGCTAAGTCTGGTGCTGAGGGGGCTGGCAAGGCCCGAAATCCTCGAAACATACCAAGCGGAGCGGCTTCCGAATGTGCAACGGCTCGTCCAGTATGATAAAGATATAAGTCGGCTTATGACGAATCGTCTCCCCGAGGATTGGCAGGGCGACCCCGGGGCCGACGTCAACGCGATCCTAGGAGATCTTATGGCGGAGGCTGGGGCGTTTAGCAGCGGATTGGGAATTTCCTACGAGGTTCGGAAGACCAACCCTCTCAACGTCGACGGGTCGTTCCGCATCCCACAGCAGCTAGTCCGACCAGGAGTAAGAGCGCCGGATGTCACGCTCCTGCGGCCGGGGACATTTGAACCCACGAGGTTGATGCGCGAGCTACCAAATACTGCCTGTTTTACAGTACTCGTTTTCGTAGCCGACGGCACGCCTGCAGTCCCGGAGGTAGTATACCGAGGCGTGAGGAAATCGTGGTCATTCCAGACCCTTGTTTCCAAAGGTTCGTATTGGGAGATTTGTACGTATACTCCTGAGACTGGGCTAATAAGAAGGTAGGGTGTCTGAGATTTGTGACGATTCTTCCCGCCCCTGCCTCATCGCCGTACGAGGTGCTTGGATGTGAACCCATCGGCCGTGCGTACTTTGATCAAGAAGGTAGAGCAGCATATATGCGGTACGGAATTGAGCCTACGGCGGGCGCTCTCGTACTCGTGAGGCCGGACGGCTGGGTTGGTACCATGGTCTCGCTGGGGCCTGAGACGGTCTCAGAGCTTGAGCTGTATTTGCGCAACGTATTTCTGCTCGTGTAGACGTTTCAGATGTTGTACCTTTTGGCCAGCTTCATGCAGAGGCCCAAAGCCCAACAAGACTCACGATGATTCATGATAAGCGGTAACGGAGGTTAGTTGCTAGGTACCTACTTGGCGAAGCGTTTATGGCCTTATGATGGCGCCACACAGCGACATTTGTTGAAGAAGCGAGAGTAAAAAGACTGGTTTTATCCGAGGAATCCATGTATCTTACTGGTGTTTAAAGGAATGTTTCTCATCCCGTAAGTATGACGATCAAGGTCGTTATGCCAGTCTTTGAGTCTTGTACCTCGAGATGGCTGCTTTCTAGCTGTATAGCCGCTGGCGACGGTACCGGCGCAACTGGCGTCGTTGGAGGAGACGGCTGCGGCGAACGCCGTCATTTCCACGCACCCAACCGCTAGTGACGACAACGTGCCCTCTGTCGGGGCTATCGCCCGTGGCCTGGCCCGTGGGCTATCGGGAAAGCCTGCCGCTTACTGGCTCCACACCTCCGGGCTCTTCAGGCTGATAGTGGGTACGCAGTTTTGGTGAGACCGGAGAGGCGTCGGCGATGCGCGGGTTCGGGTCGCGGCTCAAGAAAGTGTAGATGACTGGGATGGCATCGTGGAGCTGACCCTGCGTCTGGACGACGTGCCACACGTTGAAGCCGGCAATATCGTGCTCGGAGCCGGGTCCGATCGCATCAGGGTAGCAACCATTGCTCCAGCGGCAATTCACGGCCAGGGGAAAGTCCTAGCAAAGCATACTAGCTTTCTCCTCTTCCATAACTTTCTAAAGCTGCGGAGAGTGTTCGTTATGGGGAAAGGGGTGAATATACGGCACAACATCGATGTTCGGGACCTATCGGAACTATACCTGCCACTTGCGGAGCCCGTGGCAGCGGGAGGGTCGCCGGTGTCCTGGAACGATACGGAGTACCACCTCGCGGAAGGTGGCTGCTACACTGTGAAGGAGACGTTGACGCTGGCCGCCAAGATTGGGTCGACAAGGGGCTGTTCCGTCAGCCGGGCGAGAGCGCCTTGCGCCGAGGAGGCCGGCAAGATCCGCACCCCTACGCGAGCGTCGTTCTTGGCTCCAACGCGCGAGGTGTTGGGGTCGGGGAGGAGAGGCTACTGGAGTGGGACGCTCACATGCCGCCATCTGAGGAAGAAATCCCTGAGGCAATCGACATAGACGCTCGGGCATGGGCCCTTGGGACTAAACAGGCATACATCGCAATAGAAATGAACGGGGAGGTATCATCGCACGAGGATGAGGAATAAGGCACCGGAATTAATGACCTCCTAGCATGTCTAAGTACAAATTTCCCACGAATCATCTACTCTATACTCAACCTAACCCCTGAATTCTAATCCGCGTTCCCGCCCTCTCTTTGCCGCAGCTCCTTGCGCCACTGCACTCCCTTCACTACGAGAAGGTAAAGACATGGCGAAAAGATGAGGTACAGCACCGCGATGATGGAGTATGCCTTGCCCGGCCCGACGGCCAAGATGAGAGGCTCGATGGCGGCGGCCATGGCGGAGGCTAGAAGGAACTTGATGATGTTGTTGGCGGCGCTGGCGGCGCCGGTCTTTCCGGGGCGGACGTCGGCGATGAGGGCATTGAAGACACTGACAGCGCTAACGAGGCCGAGGCCGAGGAGGAAGACGAGGACGCAGACGACGGCAACGTGGGCGTGGCCCTCGACGGCCCAGCCCCAGGCGGTGATGACGATGGCGCTGAGGAGGAGCGCGGGTGCGGCGACCTCGACGCGGGCGCGCTCGATGGGGAAGTCGGCGAGGTCGGCCTCGCGCGCGCGGTCGACGCGCAGGCCGAGCCGCCGCGCGTGCCGCGCGAAGTTCCAGTTCATGGCCCGGCCGACCAGCGCCACCGACGCGAGCGACCCCGCCGCCATCGGCAGGTAGATAAGCCCCGTCTGCAGCCCGTCGAAGCCGTACTGCGCCGCGAACAGGCTCGGCACCGCCGTCGCCACCGCGTACACCCCCGCGAACACGAAGCCGCCGTACAGGAACAGCAGGCCGAGCTCCTTCTCGACCAGGAGCACGAGCGAGGTTAGCAGCTTCGACCACGCGAAGGTAATGCGCCTGGGCGCCTTGGGTGGGGGCGGCGCGCCGGGCCGGTCCGGGTTCGGAGACGGCGGCGCGGTGCCGCTGCCGCTCTCGGCGTCGTCGGCGGCATTACGGCGACGGTGGTAGCGGAGCAGTTGCCATACCGTGCGGTTGCTCCGGGGCGGCAGGGCGGAGCCGTCGCCGACGACGTTACGGCAGGTCTCGGGGAAGAAGCCGACGAGGATGACGATGTTAGCGGCGGCGCAGGCGGCGAGAAAGAGGAAGATGGCGCGCCAGCCGAGGTACTGGGCGATGGCGCCGCCGATGACGGGGCCGAGGCTGGGGCCGAGGGTAACGGGCATAGCGACGAGGGCGGTGTACTGGCCGCGCTCGGCGGCGGTGGCGATATCGGCGACGACGCCTTGGCAGAGGGCTTGGGTGGCGGAGATGGTGGCGGACTGGAAGCAGCGGAGGCCGAGGAGGCTGCCGTAGCTGTCGGACTTGGCGAGGGCGGCGTTAGCGACGATGTAGAGGAGGAAGCAGGCGAGGTAGGCGGGGCGGCGGCCGGCGACGTCGGCGAGCCCGCCGACGAAGACGGGCGTGACCCCCTGCAGGATCATGTAGGAGGTAACGGTGAAGTTGATCTTGGCGATGGAGACACGCAGGTCAGCGGCGGCGATGGCGAGCGCCGGAAGGTACACCTGCGCCGTCCACGACGCAAAGAGCGCGCTGAAGGCGGCGCTGAGCACGATGAGGCGCTTTTGCCGCGGCGTGAAGACGGTAAAGCGCGGCACGACCGGCTCCGGCTCCGGCTCGGCTACCGTGGCGGCGGCGGAGGGGGACCCGGGGGATTTCCCGCTCTCGTCAACGGCAGCGACAGCGACAACGCCGCCGGATCCCTTTTGGTGGCCGGCGAGCTCTCCCGGCGGCGCGACGGGCGCCTCGTATTTCTCGGCCAGCACGACGTCTCTCTTGGCATCCATGGCTACTCTGGGGGAGATCTCAACGCACAAGTGCTTTGGGTCCGGAGTTCACTTGGGCGTTACACTGCTGCTAGGCTCGAGATGTCAATTATACCCCCTAAAGCAGTCGTGAAATACCTACCCAAAGGCCGGGGCCAGTCGGCGTCTTTTCCTCTCCAAGTGTGACGTTCTGGCCATGCCACAGCATAATCTCTGGCGACTTATCGTCGCCAGAGCGAACGGCGGATCTCGGGTTTTCATAAAAAAAGGCGCGGATTCCGGTCCGGTAGCCTGGTGCCGGGCCTTCGACGGTGACAGCTAATCTGGAGCCTAGGCTGTGCGCTCCTGCGGCGTCAACTTCTCCTCTCTCGTGGCTGTCCTGGCATCTCTGACACGTCCAACGTCTAGAACGCTGGATATTTTGGGCTGACGGGAAAAGAGAAGGGTCTGGCCTCGGGTCGCGTGGCAGACGTACCTAGCGCAAGGGAGGGCGTGCGGCCAGACGAGATACAAGGAGCCCGCGCTGAGATTTGACACGGAGGCGGTGCAGCGTCGCAGCGATCCCGTATTCAAAGGAGTCACGTTGGCCAGCAACCCCCCACCGCCGGGCTTATCGTCTTCAAAGGCGCTGACGGGGTTAGTCCTACTAGACCTTCGTCGACCAATGCAGCTCGTCGACCGGCCTAATCATCGTGCTGCGGCTGATACCCATGGGAAAACTCTGCTCATCTATGGGTATGTCTAGGCCTCTGATATCACCCCCGCCGGGCATATATGCTGGACCGACATCTGATAAGCAGCGCCGCCGGCCGATCCTCTTCCTGGCCTAGTACCGCGCGCGACGGCATCATTTACCAGTAGAGCCGAGGGAGAGATATTGTAGGGTGACGATACCGTTGGGTGAGCAAGAAGGTAGGATTTGGCATTCCAACGGGCTGTTATCAGGTCAATATATGATGATACTGTTTTGTGCCCGAGGGAAGAGCAGGACCCGACTTGGCGGACGAGCGAAGCCGTGGGGAGACGGAATTTGGAATGAAGGAATACGGGAATGGGGGACTGCGGCCGGGAGATTAGGAACATAGCCCGCGAAGAAACACGGAGGAGTTGTGCTGCAGCGTGAGAAGCTCGGATAAGGGCCTCGGGGGCTTCGCGAAGTCGACGTAGCAAGCATGCGGCTTTGTCGAGCTCCCTCGAGCGCGCGCCCGCCCCGTAAACCGCGCAGACAGGCAGGTGTTCTTTATTCCTTCGGCTGGCAGCATGCCATCGGGCAATACGACGCTGATTCTGCTGGCTAGGAAACTCCGCCGTCGAATCGGCATCGCGAGCGCGGGCAGGGGTCTACACCGCGCCCACGCCCCTCGCTTATCCGGTGCGGTTACGGGAGACCTAAGCGAGTTGGGAGGTTGTCTCTGGACGGATATAGCCCTCCCCCGCTCCTCGCTCGCCTAGAAGCCTTCGATCGATGCGACGGTACCAGATAAGCCGGAGCCCACGCCACACCTCGGTGTGGAGCACCGGGACCGGTGTCCCTTTTTTGCAGAACACGCCACGCCGGCTGAACGGGATGATGGCAGGTCGGTGCCGATTCCTGCAATCCGCAAGCAATCAGGACGGCAGATTATGAACGGGGCTTCGTCGGAAATCTGGCTCGACCCAATGGGACCGGATCGATCCATTTGCCCGAATAGCATGCGGGGGGGAGGGAGTTTCTCACGGCTCGCTTCCGTCTCACTCTTTACCCTTGTGGCCCCCAATGGCTCCCTCCCCTCTCGCCTTCGTTGGGGACGATCCACGTTTTTGGGTTCCGTGGCTCAACGGAAAAACAGTCGAGTGCGAATCGCGATATCTGGTGGCGTGGGCTGGCCGTGGGCTGGCGTTGGCCCGTTGCGTCGCGGGCGCGAGAGAGGAGGCGCGGAGTGCCACGGGCGGATCAGAGGAAAGGAGGGCGAGGGAGGGGGGAGGGGGAGGTCCCCCATCCGGCCCGTCGCAACCGGATATCTCCCGTCGAGGTAGCTAATCACGAACGCTGGAGACTTTTCCGATCGAACGAAGTGATTACTGATTAGCTGGTAGCATCGAAGCCGACCTGTCTGACCCCAGATATTACCCCGGTTCTGCTACGCGGGGGGGAGCCAACCCACCCCCCCCTTTCTGCAAACCACGGGGGCGCGGCTGCGAGTGACGGGACAGAAATACCGTCCCAACAGATGGAGCTTAATGTACAGGTATGATAATATCGACAGCTATAACATATAGGTACAATGAGTAAAATACGAAGAACAAAAGTTCCGAAAAACGACAGGGTTATCCAACGCCCCAAACTACGTTCAGTCGGTTATAGACCATCTACCTAGGTATTATTATTATTTTGCGCGAAGCCAGCAATCATGTGAGGCCCCTGGCCCTAGTTTGCCGGCGGCGAGACGTATTTCTGCTGCGGACGCCACAGCTTTACGGGCTGCGCTGCTCGGCTCGTTAGCGACGAGGCCGTGTGCTTCGGATATACGTAGATAATTGTGCGTAGCTGGAGAGGAACCGAGGAGATGGGTGGGGGACTAAAAAGTAGACAGAATCAAAGAGAAAAAAAATTAAAAGGGGTAAAAACTCACTTAGACTCTCGCGCCAGTGCGCCAAGACGCCCGGGGCCCGCGACAAGATGGTGATGGCGATGATCATGTCGGTGTCAAAACCCCTACGCGCGAAGAGCGTGCAAGTTAGCGCTAGGGGGTGACTTTTCCGCGTAGAAACTGCTCGCGCGAGAAGACAAACTCACATGGCGGTGTAGAGAAAGCAGCCGAGGAGGTCGGCGTTGGCCTTGAGCCCGCGCTCGACGAAGTAGGGGTCGCGGCTGGCGTAGGCGTCGATGGCGGCGGCGACGCGGAGCAGGGGGTTGGCCTCGACGGCGTCGCGGTGCTGGGCGAGGAGCTCCTCGATGAGGGCGACGCGGGGGTCGCGGGTGCGGTAGACGCGGTGGCCGTAGCCGAAGAGGCGGCCGCGGGCGGCCTTGACGCGCTCGACGAAGTGGGGGGCGCGCTCGGGCCTGGCGACCTGGCGGAAGGCGTCGTAGGCGAGGTCGATGGCGCCGCCGTGGAGCGGGCCGTAGCCGGAGACGACGCCGGCGACGACGGCCGACGCCGGGTCCGTCAGCGTCGAGCCCGCGTGCAGCGCCGCCGCCGTCGAGTTCGTCATCTCGTGGTCCGCGTACAGGATCCACAGCTTCGCCAGGCACGCCTCCGCCCGCCCCGCCTCCTCCGTCCCCATCATCCCCAGCAGGTTGCCCACCAGCGAGCGCCGCGCGTCCGGCACCGCCGCCGCGCCCGCCGCCCCCCACTTCTTGCGCCGGTGCACCAGCGCGATCGTCGCCGCCAGGTACCCCAGCGTCCGCACCAGCGCCGCGTCCGCCGCCGCCAGGTGCCCGTGGAACACGGCGCTCTGCTGGTGCCGCGCCCTGCACATGACCTCGTCGCTCGCCGTGAACGCGCTCATCCCCGCGATGAGCATCGGGAAGGTGTCGGCGTCGCGGCTGGAAGCGGCGGTTAGTTACACAGTCGGGCGGGCTGTCATTGTGGCTGATCCTCCCTCTGCGAGAGAGAGACGAGATTTGAGTCAAGGATTTGAAAAGGGAGCGGGGGAAGAAGAGGGTTCCGTACGGGAACGCCGAGATCACGTCCTTGACGGTCTGGGGCGCGACCATGGCCTCGGCCATCAGCTCGCGGACGTCGTCCTTCTGCTTCTGCGTGGGGATCTGCCCCCAGATGAGGAGGTGCATTACGTCTTCGAAGTCGTACTCGTGGAACAGAGTCTCGATGGGAAAGTCCCTATACCGTATGGTGCCAAGCATACCGTCTCTGTTGACCGACCAAGCTTCCTGTCAGCAGACAGTAGTGGACGTTAGGCAGAGATGAAAGGCAGGTGGATAGCAACACACATGTGGGTGATGCTGGACTCCATGCACGCCGTGTGCTGGAAGCCGTTGTCGAAAATGCGCAGGGGGCTCGCGGCCTTCGAGGCGGCGACGTCTCGGCTCTCCGCGCTGCCAATGCGGGCAACGTCGGCGGCGCGGATGTAATCGCCCTCGATTGGGATCTTGTAAGACTTCCCGGTGCGGGAGTCGGTTACCTCGAGGTGGTGCTCCATTGCTGGCTTGCTGGTACGGCTGGCTGAATGCGTGCGTGGAGATTACCCGGGGCGATCCGACTAGGGGGGGAGGGGACGAGGTGAAGCTAAGAGGGAGGCCGAAAGAGTGAAATCGAGAGGAGGAGAGACAAAGAAAAAAAAGAGCGAGGGAGGGACTGAGAAATAGAGAGCGAGCATGATTACATGGTTTTCGAGAGACTTACAATATGGAAGATAGGATGGACGATGTGTGTGATTCCTTGCAAGTCCGTCCTGCGGCGTTGGCTCTCGGGGTCGGTTTGGATAAACCCCGTTGTCGGCTGCTCTCGACCACTGGCAAGTTCCGGAAATCCTTCAATCCCGAAGAGGATATCTCCCCAGGTACAAAAATCCGGAAATCCTGGGTAAGACAATATCTCCCAGTCCTAGAATCCGGAAATCCTGAATGGCTCGACCGTGGCACGGCATCTTAGAACATGCGTTTGGAGATAACGCTTCTTGAGGCGTAACGTAATGATATGTGAGTATTCAGCTACGAAGACTTTGGAGATAAGTTAATATATAATAGTTCGCAGCAGCTCGGGTGTTTCTAGAAAGTATGGCCTCTACTCCGCACTGCGCTCGGCTCATCTCCCCATCCATACTACCAGGGCCAGAGACTTTCTCTCTCTCTCGCTCGTAGCCCGTTTATTGTTTTGTCTTACCTGAATCTCTACCATGGCTGCTGCTGGCGTCGCGACGACCACTGGCCTCATGGGCATGTGGAACGGCACCAAGGACGGCCGACCCGAAGGCTATATCGACTGGGCCAGCGGCAAGACCAACGTCCACGACCCGCTGGAGGTCAGGATCGAGGTCCAGGACATGCGGACGCTGGACCCGCAGCCGAACTACGAGAGCAACGGCTACGGCATCGTCAAGCACAAGTCCTCCTTGACGCCGGAGCAGTTCTTGGCCGGGAACGACCCCGAAGGTGCGCGGGTGCCCAACCCCGCGACTCATGTCTCCTTTTCCCCAGTAGGTACGCGAACGTGGCTGACGCGCGGCGGCGGGCGGCAGGCAAGAAGTACATCGAGGACGTGTACTTCAAGGAGGTGGCGGAGCTGGTGCGGCAGGTGACGGGGTCGGAGACGGTGGTGCCGTACGTGTTCCGGATCCGGCAGAACAGCATGCGGGCGGGCGAGTTCGCGGCGAACCGGCTGTCGCACGCGGCGCTGCCGGTGGCGCACGTGGACCGGGACGCGGTCACGGGCGAGGACGGGGTGCGCGAGGTGCTGGGCGAGGTGGCGGACGAGCGGATCGCGCGCGGCCGCCGCTACGCCCAGGTCAACGTCTGGCGCACCGTCGACCGCCCCGTCCAGAAGTGGCCCCTCTGCTTCATCGACCACAGCGCCGTCCCCGGCTGGGGCTACGACTCCCACCTCGCCCGCGTCTACCCCGCCAACGACCCCCGCATCGCCATCCGCGGCGAGAAGAAGCACGACAGCGTCGTCAAGTACGACCCCGGGTACGCCGTCCCCGTCCCGTCGTCTTCCTTTTTCTCTCTTCCTCCTCCTCCCCTTGGTCATTCATACTCATCATAGTCTCTCCCTGCCCTACCCTCCTCTCCGTGTCCTAGCCGTCCTGCTCCTCCCTGCTCCTTTTCTTTTTGTCTCCCCCCCCATCCGCCACCCCAAGCCATATAGGGTGAGAAAGGCCGCGCGCCCATCAGCAGCCTTCGCCACCGCATTCGCCGCAATAGCGGTGACGCAATACCTACCAAGAAGCCGGGGGGGAGGCGGCTGGCTGGCTAACAGCGTGGCGGCGCGCAGGTACAAGTACCACTACGTGAGCCGGCTGGACGTGGACGAGGCGCTGGTGTTCTCGTCGTTCGACTCGGACGTGACCAAGGTGACGCCGCACGGCGCCTTCTGGGACGACGCGAGCCCGGACGACGCGCCGACGCGCCGCTCCATCGAGGTCCGCTGCTGGGTCTTCTTCGACGACTGAATCGGGTCCTGGGCGCAGGAGGAGGATGGGAGGATGAAGCAAGAAAGAACTAAAGAAGAAGAAAAAAATTAATAATAATAAGCCGAGGGCTGGGTGGGTGGCGGGTTGGCGGTCGCGGCTTGCGTTAGCGAGGATCGTCGGCGACGAGAGCAGGATTCAATTACGTCTGCGCGCGCGCCTCTGTCAGTACGGCTGGCTGGCTGGCTGAAGGCATTAGAAATGTATGTGCGCGCGCCTGTGTGTGTGCGCGTGCGTCGTGCCGATCATTAGGCGGAGGCGGAGGGTCTGTTTAATTCGCGAGAAGCGATCAATGTCTATCATTTCTCGATTCGGGGGGCGCTCGTGCTCTTTTGTATCGCTTCCTTCTCTCTAGCTCGGCCGTGCCACGGCGGGTCCCCGGAACTATAGACACTTTAAGCTGTTAAATACCAGATTCATCGTCTGCCAACCTTGTTTTCCCGCGGGCGATAGGGACCGCCGACTAAATATGTGATGGCGTAGGGTGGCGAGAGGGTGTCGACAGGGTGTGGTTGGCGGCAGTTAGGATTTTCTCCAGCCAGAGGGTCCCCCCCCTCCTCGCTCCCCTTCCGTTGACATGTGAAGGATAAATACGCAACGTGGACTTTTCCCAGGCTCGAAAACCGGTTTTCCGCGTGCAGTCGACTACATTTACGGAACGATCAGCATCGAGTGGATACACTACACGGCACGGTTGATACAGGGAGAGGGATCGTCGTCGTCGACTCTGCTCGGTATTATTCTCACATGCAGTCATCACCTCCCACGTTTCCAGTAGATAGCACCAAGTCCATGGACGAGCAAATTCTGGGACACGCTGGCGGCGATCCGATAAGGTCTGCTCGCGTCTCTACATCGATATCATGTCTCTCCCTGGCGCTTGATGATGTGTGCAAATTCTGCGGGGGGGAGCGGGGGGGGAATACAGGAGACGGTTCGCTATGAACCCGTACACCGCCGGGGAAAATCAGCGTTATTCCCTCCCTTCAGTCTCTTAGTTACAGAAACACAAAAGTGGCCGTCTCTCTTGCAACCCCGAATTTCGTCCGCATCCTCCTCCTCGGTAATATTTTGTTACTTCAGCTTTCAGCTAGTTTACATATAATCCCCACGAGGCCCAGAAGGCGTCGATGGGCACCCGATTCCGCAAGCCACTCCCTCCCAGCACTGCCGTCGCCTACGCAAAAGTACTCTTCATTTTTTTTTTCCCGTGGTCCGTACGTAGCCTAGACGCTTGGCCATATGATAAAAACGTGCACATTGAAGGCACGGTATTCGCTCACGGGAGGAGGGAGGGGCCTCAAGTGGTCTCTAGTCTCCTCGTGGGCTCTTTTTGGGAGGAGTCGGCGACGCACGTCGGGCTGAGTTGTAACTCTGACCTGACGTTCTCGTACGTTTCCTCCTTCAAATCGTGAGTATGGCGATGAGGTTTCCTCTTTTACCTCTTCGAGTCGACCAATGTCTAGACGGCCGGCTGCAGTTGGGTGCCATTGGGGTCTTTTCAAGGTATTATTATACCTCTTTGTAATACACGCCTAGCTAAGCAGCGAGTTTGGGTGTCCCCGGCTTTGGCTGGGTTACGCAGCGTTGCCGCCGGTTTGATTCGATACCGCTGCCACCATGTCGTCGGAAAGTCTCCGAATTCCTTCTCGCGGGTATGTGCTTCCGCCATCGAGATTCCTTGGTACGCTCCCTGGAGAGGGTTCCTCCAGACTCCGTGGAGATGATAGAGATAGAGATGCCGGATACCGGCTGCAGCCCTCTGGTGCTACCGCCTGTGATTCGAGATAACGGGCACGCGGAGAGAGAACCCTAGTAAGCGCAGTACCCACCCTCGAGGCCCAACAAGCCCTCCACGAGGATGGATTCCTACACATGAGGGCGGGACGCGTGTGGGAACTCTCGCTGATCCCTTGGCATGACGGCAATGATTGGTTAGAGGGGGTTCATCTGTTGGTATGGTCCGAAATACGGCACACGAAAGTACGAACTGTTGGGCTAGATTGCGTACGGACGGGAGAGCCTAGAGCCTTCGTAGGTCCTCCACCCGAGCCGGACGAGAGCAGCCAGGGGTGATGTACGTATGCCATCGCCGGCGGCCCCCCTTCCTCCCTCCCCCAATGGGACGTAGCCCCCATGACTTATCCATCAGCTCCTGTAACGTCACTTCGTATTTGTTTTTTTTTTTTTAGTTGCCACTCATGTCGCTGCCCCGGCGGACAGAGGCGTCAGGCATCGTGACTCATAGGAAGAAACCCTCCTTGCTCTATTTTTCCCCATCCAATGGGTGCGATGCTCACGGTAGAGCCCAGCGCCTCCGCGTGGCCGGGCACCAGAGCAGCAGACCTGTGGACAGTAGGGTAAGCCTGTGCTAGTACGAATATTGGACGGGTGAGGTATATTACGGTAATTTTTTGGTTAGGGATGGGAAGATGATACAAGAGGAGCCACAACAACGACAGCAACAGCCAGAAACAATAGCAACGGCCACGAAGACAATAACGACGATGAAAAACCCAGAAACAGACAAGGAGGTAGTTGGGGCTATTTCTCTGCCAGGCCCAGCGGCGTCTTCTCCCGCCGCGTGAGGAGAGAGCGGTGTAGGGAACACGTGGACGTGTCTGGTAGTAGGTATTCCCCCCCCGGCGCGTCTGGATCGCGGGACGGGAGAAAGGCGACGGAGCATATATTCCTGAGGACAGGTCGTTGTGCGTCGAGGCGGCGTGGGCGTCTTGGACGGCGCTGGCGAGAGTATATAACGCGGGAGAACCCCGGATTTCCTAATGGGGGAAGTGGGTAAGAGGTGGCTCGGCCTGTGGCTAGCGTAGGCCCTCGCTCTGATCCCTCCCTCGCCCCTCGGCATATGCGGTATATTATTACCATGCGGCCGGGGCAGGGCGGGAGGTGGGGTTGGGAGCTGGCTGGTCGGCGTCGTGAGTGGCCCGACGGTGTGTGTGCCCTCTGTTGCTTTTGGCCTCGGGCCTCGAGATACCGGTCTTGGTTGTCGATTGTGCTGGCCGTGAAGTCGGTCCGCGGCCAGCTCGCCGTCGCTGTGCTGCGTGGTGCTGGGAGGAGCGACGAGTGAGGAGTGACGAGTGCCAACGCCGTGGCGCCCAGGTGAGCACTTGAGCCTTAACTGCTACTTGCAGCGACTTGCAGCGACTTGCAGCGACCTTGGCACGACTTACGGCGACCGACAGCGATTTCCAGCGACATACAGCGAGTTGCAGCCGCCTGCAGCGCCCAGGGGAGAGGAAGAGGGTAAAGAGGGTTGTCAGCGATGCGAAGCCGAGATGGAAGATGGGGGAAAAGTACAAATCGATCCCCGCGCCATAGGCAATTCGGATCTGCGGTGGATGCGGAGGGTGTTTGGGTGCCTAAGGTGGGCAGGTAGGTACCTAAGGAGGTACCTAGGTAGGTAGGCGGGTTAGGCAGTTCACCGCAGCTATCCCGACCTCCCCCCTCCTTCACCCCCCACCCTTTTGTCAGTTGGGTATTTCGTTTTATTTCCATTCCAATCAGTAGGCATTCCGCCCCTCTGTAGCCAGGCACAGGACAGGCCTACCTGTCCGCCTGTCGCTCGCTGACAGCTAGGGGGGGGGCTGTCTGTGGGAGCGCCCTGCCGCCCCTGGACGGGACCCCCGACCCGGCGTGGTGACATCGGCGCTGTCACCAAGAAGCGCCGCCGCACACGGGCAGGGGGATGCGAGGGGCGTTAGGCACCGATCCTTACCAAACCCGCTGAGCGATCGATGTGGTTGCAGTGATCGATGGAATTGTTCTCATTATCTTGATTTCATCGCGATCTGCGGCCGCTACGGTAGCCGACGAAAAAGGGTGAGCGCCGTCGTGATCTTCCCAAAACCGATGCTCCTCTCCTCTGTGCCCGTCCCTCGTGCTCCCCCCCTCCCAGCGTCCGTCCCGAGAGCCGGCAAGCCTTCGACGAAGATCCTCAGTTGGCAGGGGTATAAGCCAAGGTTCGTCCCGTCTGCTTTGCTCTGCCCGTGTGGCGATGGGCGTAGGAGGTGTCCCCCTTGCCCCCCTCTCCATTCCAAATCATACACCACCTCCTGCACCGATTTCCCCCCCCATCGTCCGCTCACCCCACCCACAGCAACCCGCCCAGCTTACACACGCACACACACACGTACCTACGTACACATACACACACACACACTCACTGACGCTCACTCACGCACGCACTCGCACACACGCGCGCGCGTCCGCTGGAATTCTACCCTCCCGAGCTTACCGCCTTATGCACCCAGCACCTACCTACATGGCGCTGGCGCATCAGGTTGGGGGCGGCGGCATGGTGGCGCTGGTGCCATCCACGTATCCCGAGCCCCAGTCGACGGCCTGCCAATGGACGTCGTCCGTCGCAGCCACCGCTGCAGCGGTGACGCGGGGGTTGCCCAAGACGGCGAGACGGCTGGGGCGCGGGCGCCCATTGGAATAGCGGCGGATCCTGTTGCAGCTCTGCTTGGCCAGGTGGGTGTCTCTGGCCGAGTTGCGCGTGAAGACCGCCCCGCACAGCGGGCACACCCCCTTTGCGCTCGTGCCCGCCCGCTCCTTGACGTGTCGCACGAAGTTGCTCTTGGACGAGAACTCGCGTCCGTTGCATCCGTGGTCCCAGCAGCGGTTCTTCCCTCCCCCGCCCGCTCCCCCTTGGTCCGCCTCCGTCGGCTGATCCGTGCTGCTGGCGCTGCTCAGGAAGTCCGGCATCGCCGTGCTCAGCCTGTCCAGCCCGTGCGGGTACGCGCCCGCCAGCGCCAGGTTGCCCGAGATGTGGTGCAGCGACGCCATCGGCGCATCGTCGCCGTTGATGCGGTTCCGCGACGTGTCCGTGCTGTCGACCCAGAAGAAACTGTATAGGTGCAGGTCAGCAAACCTGCGTCGTCTTCTTCTTCTTTCGCTTAGGGGGGGGGGGGAGGGCTGGCCGGGGCCGGCTCGCCTTTGCTGAGACAGCTCGTCGAAGATGGCGGAGCCGTCGAGGAGCGGGTCGAGGAAGCCGTCAAAGTCGGCCGGCGTCACCGCCGTCGGGTCGTAGCCGTCGTCTATCTGGCTGGCCGGCGTGCTAGCCTTTCGATGCTTCGGCCCGGCTGCAGGCTTCTGTCTCGCCATAGTGAAAAGAGGTTGAAGGGGGAGAGAGGGAGTAGAAAGCTATTGGAAGGCGACGAGGGAGGTAGCCGCAAATAATGTCGTAGGCGTGTGTGTTAAATTATTACCTAGCTGCAGGAGGCGGTAGAGGCGTATCTGGGGCGCGTCACGCAGGAGAAGGTTGTCTTACCCGCCAGTCCGGATATTAAGTATCCCTGAGATATTAAAAAATCCCTTCGAATAATATCTCCGGCTCGAGGGGGGCACGGGTAGCCGAACACAATATATCTTATCACGGTAGTCGTCTCTCTCTTCCTCTCTCTCTCCTTTTTTTCTTTTCTTTTTTTTTCTTTCTGTCTCGGCGCGCCCAGCAACGCACGACCATGTCCCGCCGGCGTTCCCATTCTCTTAGCCGCTCGCCACTTGCCGAGGGCGGAGAGGACGCGGGAACAGCAGTTCGAAATCGAACGTCTCTAGCGTGGTCGGCGCTCGACGGCCTTTGCGGTCCCTTGGAGGGCACAGCAGCAGAGCCCAGCCACGAGGTCTCTGCAGCGACCAGTTCGGGGGCCGGTCTAGAACGTAGGCTCTTCTGAGCGCGCCAGGTCGGTCCTATTTTTTCCTCGGATTCCGGTCAGCCCCATGAGTGCAGGGTGTTGCTCGATACGATAAGAGAGACCCGACAAGTGGTCATGCACCTGCGCGACCCCAAGGAACCTCCCTGTATGTCAGACTCACGATCAAGACGCAGGTATGCCGAACCCCCATCCCCGATCTAGACCTACGCAGTCCCATCGGGGATGGGCATCTGGCAAGCATGCTATCTCCACGTTATGGTACCTTTGGCCGACTCGAGCCTCTTGGATCTCATTTGTCCTGGTGCCAACGCCCGCGGCGGACAGCGGCGAGTAACGTGATCTCGCTTCAGGCTCGTCGGCTAAACTGAGCCTATAAGTCGCGTGGGTTGGGTCGAATTGCCAGCCACGTCGGCCGTTGCAACTGTGATCCCACAGGCCTGCGGGTATTTTTAGCTACGCCTCCCGCCAGAGGAGGAATATAAGCATAAAGCACAGATCTAAGCCACGATATTGCTTCTTGCAGTGTAAGGCAGTATAACGCGCGGTGGTGTGTCCGGGACGGTTATAATATCTGCGCGTACACACGTTTCCTACTAATATAGAGCAGCCAATGTCACCGTGCCGGGGAGAAGGGTGGCGGCGAGGAGTGCCCGATCACGAATGCGCCAACCGACGCATACGCGCGCAAATAGCAACTCCGCCGAGCTCTTGCGTAAGTGCTTGCAGGATATTAACTCTCCTTGCTAGTAATCAACCCATGCTCTCTCTTGCGCATCTCGTCTCGTGAACTCCCTGCGCCCTCACGTGTCTGGCCGGCCGGCAGCGGGTCGTACGGTAGGTCCCAATGCAACCAGAACAAGAGAGAAGAAAAGATTTCGGACGATATCGATCTGGGAGGGGGTGGGGGTGAATTGCGATCCAGACAGTTCCTGAGCCACCTGGGCCGCAATTGCGCCATGATATGAGAGATGTCTTACAAACGCAACGGCAACTAATACAACCTCGAGTCACTTAGTAAACCCCGCCGTTGTATTGCTATGCAAGCGAAGTGACACAGTTGGATATCATGTCGAAGAGCTTCTATATTTGTTCTGCCGTCATGTAGGTAGCTCATATTACGTTGTTAAACCTCAGCCTTGGCGCGCTCCTTAGCATGGCGATGGGACCGGGAAATGGAAACCTGCTCCATTGTCCAACATATCGCCACTCCTACAAGCCAAAATACCTGATTCTCTTCGGTTGACGCAAGGAAACATGTGCTCGGGTCGCTAAACTACCCCCCCCCCCCTGTTCATGTGCCCACCTCGCTATCGTCTAAACAGGCATGTACTTATTCCAGCCTTGGAGAACGTTGCCGATCAAAGGCGATCGAGTCATCTGGTACACGTATTCAAAGTATTCTTGCGTGAGCTCGAAAGGCTTCGCCGTGAGGTTGGGGATATACTTCTGGACTAGTTGGTTTGGGTCGATGCTGTTCTTGTTTAGATTCTGGAGCAGAAAGGAGCGGAATGACTGGACCCCGGGCCGTAGGTACGAGCTGTGGAAGGGCACGTCGATGCCCCGGAGCGGCACCGTCGCTCGGCCGCGCGATAGCCTAAGCGGCTCGGGTTTGGCTCGTGAGCGCCGCCACGCCTCCTCGACGACGGTCACGAGAGCATCGTGGTGTTCTCCGGCCGCCTCCCACGTCCCTAGTTCCACTTTGCGCTCTCGGATGCAGCCCAAGACCTCGCCTAACACGTCAAGGCCACGTAGATCGCCAGCGCAGACATACTGCACGTTGCGGACGTTATAGTTGACGATCTCGAGGAACGAGCCGGCTACGGCGGTAATGGTCTCAACGACGTGCTGGAGAGCCTGCTCGCTGAATCGCTCGTCCACCCGTGACGGATCGACCGCGCACATCGAGTAATTGGAGCCCCCCTGCTCGTCCCGCTCTACCGCCACTTGCATGCATAGGCCGCGATAGAAGACCACCGATACCAGCGTCTCCACTGGCATCACCCTGGCAATCGAGGCAAGCGCGCTGTACTCCCCGAGAGAGTGCCCGGCGAAGACGCTGTCTTCCTGGATCACTCCCCGAGCGCGGAGGTCCTCGAACGCTGCCATCTGCATCAGCGTCAGTGCTGGCTGCGTGAATTGGGTCGCCGAGAGGAGGCCGGTAGGGGACCGGAACGTGTACGACCCAGTCCATTCCGTGATGGTCTTGAAGACCTTCACGAGCCTGGGGCCACCGTCCGAGCCCAGCTCGAGGCCCTGGCACGCCATGGCCATGTAGTTCTGCCGGATCGCCTTTCCTCGCGCGCCACCAAAGTAGACGGTGAGCTCTTTTGGGTCGTTCCGGACGATCTCGAGGATAGAGAAGCCTATATTGCATGTCAACAGGTTAGCCAAATTGATCGACGTCGCCTCGACACACCATCGTGAATGCGTACCAAATGTATCAAGGAAATGCTTATCCGCGCGGTCCCAAATGCCCCTCGCGACGGAACTCTTCTCGTACAGCTCCATCCCCATCCCCTTCTCCTGCGAACCCTGGCCGGTGAAGACGTAGGCAGATGTCGGCTGCTCAACGATGGCCTCCCCGACCAAGACCTTCTCCCTCGCCCTGTCCTTCTTGGTCGCCTCGATCTGCACCACCATGCTGCCTGACACCATGCCAACGTGATGCACCTGGACCTCAAGCCGATCGCCGGGCAGGACCATTCCAATAAACTTGACGTAGAAATCTCGCATTCTGTTGCCGTGGCTATCCGTCACCCAGGCCTCGACCAGACTCCGCACCGCGCCGCTGGTGTACATACCGTGCGTTATGGTTCCCGGTAAGTTAACGTACCGTGAGAAGGCGCGCGAAACGTGGACAGGATTGAAGTCGCCAGATACGCGCGCATACGTCTCGTTGGACGCTGGTATGTCGATCTCCAGGGCAGCTTTACTGCGGTCGTTGCGTACTGGAATCGGGCGTTCGAAGTAGACCGGCTGACCGAGCTTAGAGCCGTGTCTCTGAAGGTACTCGAGGACGGGACTACCATGCGAAGGCCCGTCGGCGACGTAGCGTACCGTGCCTACGCGGACGAGCCCCTTGGTAGCTTGCTGCTCTAGTTCGACGGTGCCGAATGTCTCGACGTGGGAGAACACGGCTTTGTCTCGGAACCGTACAGAGGTCTGCAGCTTGAATACAACATTGTGGCCTGACGGTAGATTTGCCCCCTCCCATATGAACCATTTCTTACTCTTTAACACAGCGACATCTTTGGCGCTCTTGAGAAGGAGCCTGAAGGGCGTCTCGGCCGTGCGCTTGAATGTCTTCTCGAATGGGGGAGACACACCGCGATAGAGGAACTGCGAAGTGACTTCCATCACCGGCGTGCCGTCGTCTCGTGAGATAGTTCCGCAGACCTCGACGAGCTGTCCCGAATCTTGATTGACGATGGCGGTAATCTCAGAAGTTGTACTCAGGTTGTCTCCCTTCTTAAAAGGGGTCGCCCCAGCGAGCATACGGAAGCGGTTCGAGAGATGGACGAGTTTCAGCAGGTCGCCATCGACAGCATCAAATAGGGGCTCTAGAAGAGCCCTCCAGCCAACAACAATTGCGAAGTCCATAGGCGCAAGGTGGTCTCGGCCTTGCCGTTCGATATAGGCCTCAGAAGTGTTACCGATTGCTCGTGCGAAATCCCGAATTGCGGCACTAGAGACGGCGACGGTGCTCCCATTGAACCGTATATCACAAGGGTCTACCATGGTCATGGGCGCTGTGATCCTGTCTTTTCCGAACCAAATCTTATAGTAGAAGTCCTTGATGCGTTCATTCCGGAAACTCATCTCCTCACGAATTGGCGCATATCCTGATTCGGGGTGGTAGGTAAACAGCAGCTGTAGTGCCACCGGCCGCCTCGAGGCGGTACGGTGTTCGATGAGATATAGGGGGATGGTGTTGCCGGATATGGGGCCGATCTTGATGGTTGGAAGCTGTTTGTTGCCGAAAGGCTCCTCGACAGTGACGGTGGTTCTCGCTTTGTCCTCCGGGTATGCCATTTCTATCGCCATCCCACGAAAGGGGGCAAGAAGACGGTGCAGGGGATTCGCTTCGAAACAATACCCCTGGACGACAATATTCGTCGCGAAAAGGGCTTGTCGCCAGGTAGCCTGTCTCCCTGAAAGCAATTGCATCCACTCGCCCCTATCCGGAAGGGTAGTTCCTGGGATAAATAATCTGAGAACACTGCCCGTCTCCGAGATGGAGACCCCTTCTAAGACCGGACGAGCAGGCTGGGTATTTTCTACCATAGCGCTCCCTAAATATTCGATGACTGGTATGTTCCTGTCCTCTCCCTTGTATAAGTCGCGCGTTAACATCCGTACATGACCGACATGTAGACTGTCGAGAATTTCCTTAATCGGTTCCTCGGTCGAAGTCGAATACTGGGCCGCGACCGGTCCGTGGAGTATACAGACCCTACCTACATCCCGGTCGACGACAGCATCGAGGTCCTCGGACTGCCACAGGGAATCTTTTTTAAACCAAAATTCGAAGTTCTCGTCTAGGCACGGGATAAAAGGAACCGGCTTCTGCCCGGGTCTTCTGCAGATGTCAAGAAAATATAAGCAGTCCTGAGTATTCATGAGCTGTGAGGTTGCGAGTGGGTACGCCTTGAAGAACTCTTCGACCATAGGGAGGGGATCGTCTAGATCATCATAAGTCTTTGTGGTTGAGTCGCTCCCAGGCACCGAGTAAACAGAGAGGAGTCGTTCCACATAACGCATAAAGTCCCCAGTTGCTCGAGCAAGAGACTTGTCGATCCATCTCTTCTGATGTTTTACAAACATCAGCTCGACCATCCTGAAGATGACCTCAGAATAGGCCATCTCACCAAGGTCGACAGCCTTCCCAGACGATGTACGACCGAACCATGGCTTCTGAAAGTCGGCGTTTAGCCGCCGCATAATGTAATCGCGCGTCTCTTTCTTCTTCAATTCCGGAATTCGTTTCTCCTTGGGAAGGCTAAAAATTTTCTGATCCATCTCAGCCCAGAATACGACGCCGCGAGTAGCAAGTTTGTGAATCGGCTCCCCCATCTCCGAACGAACAGTGACGATACCACCTCCACCGGCGGGTTTTCGATACGTCTTTTCCCACTCTTCACCATCAAGGCCTTTAGCGTCCACGATGGCCTGTTTGGCACCCTTCGACGTGTGTGCCTCCTTAGCAACCATACAACGGCTTCCAAGAAGAATTCCATCAAAAGGCATGGGTGGGCGGCCAAATTTCGTAGCCCAGGTGCCATTCAAATAGGGGTAAGTATCATCCGGACCACCAAAGCCGGAGCCAGCAACAAGCACAATATTACGGCAGCGCCGTATCCTGCTGTACAGTCCCAAAATTGGCTCATGGAAATCCTCGCATGAGTGATGTCCGCCACCACGCCCGCCCGTCCACTGAAGTATGACTGGAAACCCGGGGTTAGCTTGAGCAATGTTGATCACCTGCCGGATAGCCTGCGTTGATCCCGGTTTGAAGCTTATTTGTTGGATCCCGAGAGTTCTGATATAGCCATTTGCTATCTCGAGCGACGGAACGCCAGCTCCAATAGTAAGCCCCTTAATCGGCAGCCCTTTCGAGCACAAATCTCTTATCAGGGGAATTTGCCAAGCTATGCCTTTAGGGTTCGCATAGATGACATTTAGCACAATCCCACGGCCCGTGGGGATGCATCTCGCAATCTTAGAGATCGCCTCAGTTAGACTATCCGCATCGTAATAACCGCCGCAGGCTAACTCGGCTTCGTAGCTGGCTCTTGTTGCTGCCACCACGAAATCCCAGTGTACGGTAGTAGGTGTCATGCCGGCGACGAGAACAGGCGGAAGGCCGAGGAGTCTACTCATTCTCGTATCTACACACGTCCGGCCTGTCGAATCCCTGATCAGCTTCGGTCCGTACTGCTTGGCCCAGTTTGTGCCGTACACTAGTCGCGAGGGATCTCGGGTAAATATTTCATCCTTGCATACAATCTCGGGGTGTGTGGGATTCGTGCTGTTAGTGGCGAGGATGACGCGGACTCCAGTGCCGTCTTTGATGCGGCTTGTGAGCCCGGAAACTCCTGCGGTCCGTCCAGGGCCAAAGTCTAGGATGTGTGTTGCATCGGGCATCGCAACGGCTTTGTCCCAATGAACCGGATCTTTGCAGATCATCTTGACGAGAGAGGGTACGATGTTAGCTTTCCCCTGTACTTCACCCCTTATATCATGGCCACTAAATGTGGAGTAAACTGGGATAGCAAGCTCCTCAGCAAATATCTTAATCCCTCTGAGATCCTGCTCTAGGGCGGCGGTCGCTGGTTGTAGATAGGGGCTATGAAAAGGCGCGGTTATTGGCAGAAACTTGTTAATGATGTGTAGCTTTCTCTGGCTGAAGGGTATGCGGGACTCATCAACATCGCCGTCTACCTTGACCTTCCGAAGTTGTATGTTGAGTCCGTATAATGCCATAGGTGGACCGACGATGACAAAATTGTTTGGCCCATTAACCAAGGCCACGAGTATTTGTCGATCTTCGGGAAGGGCTCTGTTCACGTTGGCGATATGCTTCTCCAGCGTCCCGCGGGACATGCCTCTGATAGATAGCGCTGCGGTTGGCTCGCCTTCTGCGTGAGCTATCGAGTCCTCGAGCGTACTTGGCGAGATGGAGGGAAGTGGATATGCTTCCTGGCTGCGAACTCCGATCCAAAATAAAATCGTGAGCGCATTTTTGCCCTGAATTTCGAAGCTTTCCCAGCTTGTTGATGCCGCGATAATAGCAGCAATAATGATGCCCTGCGAGTGACCTGTCGCACCCGAGAGGCAGGCCCTCATGCCACCAGGATGCGTACGGAGAGCAGAGACCGTAACTACATAATGGAGGATCTGCATTAACCCGATAATAGGAAAGCTCACCGATGCAGAAACCAAGTAGTCAAAATCTGGCTGCGAATCGGGCTGTTCAAGCCAACGCATGATGTCGAGGCCATGAATGAAGGCGGGAGACGCTCTCTCATCGCGCGACAAGCGTTCGAGGTACCGCGCTGCAGGAACGAGGAAGCGTCTTGTCAATGATGGGTACGTCTTATACACCTCCCTTAGCTCGTCTAGATATGTCTTGGTATTCCCCTGCCCCCCAAATACCGCATACACACGAGCGGCCCCTGTCGACGCCGCGAACATGAGAGCCGAGTCCGGAGAGCCTGTTGGTCGTCTGATAGCTCCAACAGCTAGATAGTATAACTGAATGACCTTGTGCTTGTTGGTTTCGTCTGAAAGCTTCGCAACGAAGGCGTGGACTTCCTCGTTGTGCAACAACTCCTGCTCGAATGATCGCAGAGTAAACTCCAGCACTTCTCTATCAAGGCTAGGGTCCACATCGTTCTCTATCTCTCGGACGATGAAGCCGAGAAATCTGGAGACAAGTTCGACGGTAGAGGACGGGTTTTCGACTTCTTTGGCTTGCCCAGTTGACTGGGTCAGGGTTTTTAGGAATCTGTCCCTTAGCTGAACTGCGTTCGCATAGAGGAAATCTGGTATCATGAAATTATGCTCGAGGGTTTTGCTGATGAGCGCGAGCGGTTGGCGTTGAGAATCCATCTCAAACTCTGGCGTGTTGATTTCTGGACCCGAATCCAATCCGTCTAGGTCTATCATGATCACGGGTTTTATGTCGTGGCGCTCGCTACTTTGACCTAGATATATTACGATACCAGCAATAAGGCAATCGTCGATTATTGAAAGGCTTTCTTAAACGGGGGGAGATAGTTCGGGTTGCTCGACTTGAATGTAGACAAGCCATGATCCTCTGCACCCTTCGGTTTAATAGAGTGTCGGTGTTAATGAGAGGTCGGCGTGCATATCAAAAATAGGCAATAGCCATTCTTCAAAGTGACAGGCGCAATGTAAGGCTGTGGAAGAACGGAGTGCGGGAAGTAATTACATCGTGGCTAATAGAGGTGGCCATGTTATCTCTAGCTAAGGATTGCGGGATTGCAGGAGGTGTACGGTACGGTAGTATTTAAAGACCGAGATGCAATTTCTTAAGAAGAGTCTGAGCCAGTGAATTACCAAAGGCTCTTTAGATACAAGGGAATGCGGGATTTACGGGATCATCGATAACATGGAGATTGTTACACGTAAAGTAATCAAGGACTCGAGTTGAAATCTTCCAGAAAGCAAAAATCAAAAACATTGTCACACTGTAATATAGACAAAATGAGGGGTTTAGCTTAACAAGTATTTATCGATATTTTCTCGCGTTGTTTTCCGCATCACCACATGAAGAGGCCATCACAGCTCACCCCTTTTGTTCACCATAGAGCCTCTATAGAGTGTAGAATACCTTGAACTCCCGGTTGTTGGGATGGCGCTTAGACAGCACGAGCAGGAGCTTGCCCATGTGCTCCTAACGGAGCTGCTGGCGTAAGTAGTTGGTCCGAAGTCAACATTTATGAATGGTAGAGTATAACGCGTCTCATAACAGGTATCAGTTCGCCATGCCGGTGCGGTGGTCCGAAACGCAGAGTGTCCTCTTCGACAAGGCCGGCGTAGAGAAGCTAGTTGAGTTTGGACCATCAACTACCCTCTTGAACATGGCGAACAAAACCCTGGCCCAATTCAACCAAGAGTCAGACGCAGTCAACGGATTGAAGCGATCTCTCCTCTCGATCAGCACCAATTATGACGACCTGCGCTATGATACGCTCCCTCCTGTGGAGCTGGAAAGAAAGGAGAGCCCGAAGCTAGAGAAGAGCCCGGATCCGAAACATGCAACGGAACCGATCGCTCTTGAGGCCCCTATCCACGAAAATGTGCCACCCGCAAAGGGAAACCTGCCCATACCAGACGTCCCAATTACCGCTTTGGAGTCAGTCAGCGCCCTTGTTGCAAGCAGCCTGAAGCGGCCTGCTTCGGATCTCAAACTGGGAGACAGCATAAAAGCTGTCTCAGGGGGTAGATCCATAGTACAGAACGAGATAGTCGGAGACATGTTAGAAGAATTCGGACCATTGGCCGACGATGTCGAGAACGTACCCCTGGAAGAACTGGCTTCGATAATCCAGAAATCGTACGACGGGAGGATGAGAAAGTGCCTGAGAGCCCGCGTCGAGAAGATGATATCGTCAAAGATGCCCGGATCGTTTGATTTGATATCAGCCAGATCTTTCTTGGAGGACAAATGGCGTCTGGCTTCTGGGAGACAAGACGCGGTTCTTCTGATCGCGCTTGGCCAGCAGCCGGCGGCGCGACTCAAGAAGAATGAAGAGGCCGAAGCTTTCTTTGACGCTATCGCCCAAGGGTACTTGACCAGCGCAGGGTTGTCGAGGCAAAGGAACGTGGAAGCGGCAGACCCAAAGCAGACACTTCTTGATTTGAAAGTAGTCCAGCAGCTCCGCGATGAGTATTCTACGTTGAGAAAGAAGGTCGCCGCTCTCCTTTCCGACGACGATGAATCCGCGACATCACCGTCGCAAACTAGCGACAATTTCTCGCAGATCCAGGATAAGATTGATCTGTACGAGAGTGAGCTGGGCGAGGACTTCTGCAACGGCATCAAGCCGACCTTCAACGCCGACCACCAACGATCGTATGAATCCTCTTGGAACTGGGGCCATGTCGACCTCATCGACGAGTACTACAAGCTCATCGGGTCAAATACGAGCCCGCGGAACCTCGAGGCAGTTATTGCTAGCCTGAGAGGTAGGATGAGTGGCAGGCTCGAGAGAACCCGACAATATCTTCTAAGCAGAATTTCGTCATCCGGTAACGATTCGAGGGAATCCGTTAAAAAGCTGCTCGAAGGCCTCGGAAGTGACAATTTTAGCGAGGAGGGCAGTTATTCCCCGAGCACGCAAACATCAAGCCCGGTGATCATACCACTGTCCGGAGCGGCCCAGGAGGCCCATCCAATTCTGTTACTCGAACCCACTCAGATAGCCTCAAGCCATCAAAGTCTCAGTCAGAAGCTTGGCAACCCCGGATCTCCCCGCATACTGAGGAGAGGGCAAGCAGCGTGGAAGCCCGATCCGTGCTTGACGGCCTACATGGGGCTCGAGAGTGCCATCACGCCGACTACTTTTGCCGAGAAAAATGTCCTCCTAACCGGCGCCGGCCCGAATTCGATAGGCATCGCCCTCCTGGAGTTGCTCCTCCGGGGCGGCGCGAGGGTGCTCGTGACGACCAGCAGAGCGATGCGTGACGCCGGGCCCATCTACCAGGAGGTGTTCGCGCGGCACGGAGCGCGCGGGTCACGGCTCGTGGTCGTGCCGTGCAACCAGGGCAGCCAGCAGGATGTAGAGCGGTTGGTGGCCCACGTTTACGACCCGGCGAAGGGCCTGGGGTGGGACCTGGACTTCGTGGTGCCGTTCGCGGCGGTGCCCGAGAAGGGCCGCGAGATTGATGCGATCGACTCGCGGTCGGAGCTCGCGCACCGCGCCATGCTGACCAACGTCCTGCGCATCCTAGGCGCCGTTAAGGCGGCTAAGCAGGGGCGGGGGTCCCGCACCCGGCCCGCGCAGGTCCTGCTGCCGCTGTCCCCCAACCACGGCGCGTTCGGCGGCGACGGCTTGTACTCCGAGTCCAAGCTCGGCCTCACGGCGCTCCACAACAAGTGGTTTTCAGAGAGCTGGAGCGACTACTTGTGCCTGTGCGGCGTCGTTATCGGCTGGACTCGGGGCACCGGCTTAATGGCGGCCAACGACGCCATCGCGGACGAGATCGCTAAGCGCGGTATCATGACTTTCTCCACCGAAGAGATGGCCCGACATCTGGCCGCACTCATGTCTGGCCGCGTGGTGTCCGTTTGCCAGACAGAATGCCTCCTGGCGGACCTGAGCGGAGGCATGGGCAGCGATCCCGGCTTAGCCGAATTCGTAGCGCAGATACGGACCGAAATTCGTCAGAGCGATGAGATCAGACGAGCTATTTCCGACGAGGAAGCACTTGACGAGGGCATTATTCGAGGGATTCTCGCTCCAACTCCCCCACCAAATTCAACGCCACCGATATCGCCTATGGAAGACTTAGATCTGGGCTTCCCTAAGCTTCCAGAGTACGCTACCGAGATAAAGCCCCTGAACGCCCAACTTGACGGCATGGTGGACTTGGAATCGGTCGTAGTGGTCGTAGGCTTCGCCGAGATCGGGCCGTGGGGCAACTCGAGGACGAGATGGGAGATGGAACTCAACGGGGAGCTCTCGGTCCAGGGATGCATCGAGCTGGCCTGGATGACCGGGCTCATCAAGCACAATCCGAAGCCGGCAGGCACCTCCTCACCGAGAGGCGCCGCTGGTGCCGCGTGGATTGACGTAGAGACCGGCGCGCCCATCCACGGGGTCGAGGTGAAGGCGAAGTACGAAAAGAAGATCCTGGCGCACGCGGGGCTCCGGCTGATCGAGCCGAGCCCGCTGGACCACCCGGACCGGGAGAGCCAGCAGTTCCTGCAGGAGGTCGTCGTCCAGCACGACCTGGAGCCGTTCACGGCGTCGCTAGACACGGCGACGGAGTTCGCGCGCGAGCACGGGGACAAGGTCGACGTGAGGCCGGTCGCGGGGAGCGACCAGTACTCGGTGCGGCTGCGCCGGGGCGCCACGGTCCTGGTGCCCAAGGCGCGGGCGTTCGACCGCATCGTCGGCGGGCAGCTCCCGACGGGCTGGGACCCGACGGCGTACGGGCTGCCGGCGGACCTGTGCGAGAGCGTCGACCGGTGCACGCAGATGGCGCTCGTGTGCGCGGCCGAGACGTTCCTGTCCGCCGGCATCCCCGACGTCTACGAGCTCTATGGCGGGATGCACCCGTCCGAGCTGGCCAACTGCGTCGGGTCCGGCCTCGGCGGCGGCCGGTCCCTGCAGAAGCTCTACCGCCAGCGCTACCTCGACCGGCCGGTGCAGAGCGACATCCTCGCCGAGGTGTTCGTCAACACGACCGGCGCCTGGCTCAACATGCTCCTCATGGGCGCCGCCGGCCCAACCCGCACGCCCGTCGGCGCTTGCGCCACTGCCCTCGAGTCCCTCAACCAGGGCTACGACCTGATCGCGTCCGGAGCCGCCCGCGTCTGCCTCGTCGGCGGGTACGACGACATGACCCAGGACACATCAGCCGAGTTCGCGCGCATGCGCGCCACCGCCGACAGCGCGGCCGACGTCCGGGGCCGCGGCCGCGCCCCCGCCGAGACCTCCCGCCCGTGCGCGGCGTCGCGCTGCGGCTTCGTCGAGGCCGAGGGCTGCGGCATGCAGCTGCTCGCGAGCGCGCAGACCGCGCTCGAGCTCGGGCTCCCCGTCCGCGCCGTCGTCGCCCACGTCCAGACCGCTAGCGACGGCGTCGGCCGCTCCGTCCCCGCGCCCGGCAAGGGCATCATGGTCAACGTGCGCGAGGACCCGTCGGCCGCGCGCGGGCCGTCGCCGCTGCTCGACATCGGCTACCGCCGGCGCCTGCTCGAGCGCGCCCTGGCGTCGATCCGCGAGCATCGAGAGCTGCTCTCTGCCCCGGATGCGCCTGAGCCTAGTCCCTCCGGTTCCCTAGACGAGGAGGCCGAGCTCGCCTCGCGGCGCGAGGAGAGGGAGGCGCGGCGGCGGTTCGGCAACGGGTTCTGGACGCACGACGCGCGCATCTCGCCGCTGCGCGGCGCGCTCGCAGTCTGGGGCCTGACGGCCGACGACATCGGCGTGGCGTCGCTGCACGGGACGTCGACGGTGCTCAACGAGAAGAACGAGGTGGAAGTGCTGCACCGGCAACTGGCGCGGCTCGGGCGGACGCCGGGCAACGCGGCGCTCGCGGTGTGCCAGAAGTACCTGACGGGGCACCCCAAGGGCGCGGCGGCGGCGTGGATGCTCAACGGGTGCTGCCAGATCCTCGACGCGGGCGCCGTGCCGGGCAACCGCAACGCGGACGACATCGACGCCGCGCTCGAGCCCTGGGAGCACCTCGCGTTCCCCGGGCGCACCATCGCCGTCGGCGACGTGCGCGCCTTCACCGTCACGAGCTTCGGCTTCGGCCAGAAGGGCGCCCAGGCCCTCGGCGTCCACCCCCGGTTCCTATTCGCGACAGTCGATGAGCAGCGCTACGCCGAGTACTGTCGCCGCCGCCAGCGGCGCTATTTCCGAGCGAAGCAGCACTTCCAGAACACGTTTTACGGTAGCCACATGGTAGTACTGAAGGACGATCCGCCATACCCTAAAGAGCGCCAAGTCGAGGCTTTGGTTGATGCAACTGCGAGATTTGGATGATGGGGAAGACACTGCGGCGGATTTCCTTTTCTCTCTCTTTTTCTCCATGCGCTTTTACGAACGTCTCTCGCTTTATTTTTCACTTCACGAACATATATTATGTAATCCGCACGGAAGCGTTGGTTATAAGAGAGACTGGGTAAGCCCAGCGATGCCATGACTCGCGGACACGGAGGAGCGGAGGAATCTTTCTTACCCGGTGAGACTTTCGGGCGCGTAATTGAAATCCCAATATAACTCACAATATCACTTATGAAATGATATCTCACGATTTAAGAGCTGGGGGTGTCTTAGAGACCCTGTATGTGTGATACTTGTGCATCCGGTGAAAACTGCCAGAAGGGAAGCCAGCATATCGCGCGATACGACAGATGTGATTAACCACAGCCACAAAAGCACTGGTACCAGATTAAAAGTCGTATGGCTCACACGAAGCGCCTACCATACTACCACGCGAATGCGAGCTTCGTGTCCCACCACATCGTTCCAACCAAGCTGGTCGCAGGTGCGCATTATCGTCGTGTTCTTCGTCGAGTAGTACCACCAGATGGGGGACCTACAAACGCCCTGCCACTTAAACATGCTCAAGAGCGCAACCTCTGATAATATCAGGACTTGCTAGGTAAACGAGCATGCTGGGGGCTGGGGGCGGGTACGTAGTGCTACCAACGCCGAGGGCGCCCGCAGGCAGACCAGCCAGACTAATCCAACCAAATAGCAGACCCCAACTCCTCAAGCACATTTCGACTCGACCCCGCCAGGGGAGCTGCGCATAGTGCGTCCGTCAACGGGCCAGCTCTCTCATTGCCGCACAGGGGCATCGGCACTTGTACATGCTCGCTCAGGTTGCGGGGGAGTCCACTGCCGCTCTTCTCCGCTTCGCGCAAGGCTCTTGTTACTACGCCTTGGGAAGGGGAGCCGGCTAGGTCGGCCAGCCGGGATATCGCGCCTCCTCAGTGTTTGGGGTTGTTCATTTCTTGGACTTCTTCTTCTTCTTGTTCTTGCTCTTCTTGTTACTGCCGCCGCTGCTCTTCATCGCCGGTCTGGCCTCGGGCAGCGCGGCGGCCGTGGCGGCGATCGTGGTGGCCACCTTCGCGTGCGCCTCGTCCTGGGCCGCCTCCTCCTCGCGCATCTCCTGATCGCGCGCGGCGCGTCTCTCTTCGAACCGGCGCATGTCCTCGCGCATCTTATCGGTGATCTGGACCTTCTCCAGCGGCTGGTACGGTGTGCCCGGGGGGGCGACCCGCTCCCAGAGCCGGCGCATGACGTCCTCGGCAGTCTTGTCGGTGCCGCCCATGTCGAGCAGGTGCTCCTCGCGCAGATTCTCGGCCACAGTGAACCACATTATGGCCTTGCGCGCGCGGTCCATGCGCGTCAGCAGCTCCTCGTCCTTGGACGCGAACACCTCGTCGCTGCCGCCGTCGTCCGCAGAGACCAGGCTGCGGGGCGGCTTCGCGGCCCGGTAGACCTTCATGTCGGCGTTCCACAGCCGCCAGTTCGAGTTGGTGTCGGTGATGCCGTTTCCCCGCAGCTTGCACCGGTAGCAGGCGACGTTGCCGACGTAGCCGAGGAATTCCCCCGTCTCCTGGGGGGACGCCATGGGGGAGGAGGGAATGGGCAGTTGGGGGTTCGGGTTCGCGACTCGGCCAGGCTTCGGCTGTCTCGTTGGATTTGGTTGGGAGCCTCGGCAGGGTTCAATCGAGCAGACGGGTCCTCAGAAACGTCCGATATTTCAATCCTCTTGCAAACCTGGCTGGGCCACGGGTCCGGTTAGTCCGGCAGCGCACGGCTAGAATATACCCAGGTATTAGGTAGGCACCTATAATGTAATATTATTCAATCGGTAGGTATATTCAATAGGCAAGGTTTCCAGGCGGCCAAAGTTCCCAGTCATGTCCGTTGCGTTATGTAATCACAGCACGCGGGTTAGTAACCTAGGTAGCTGCGAGGGAAATCGATAACCCGGTAACTCAATAGAAGTGCGATAGGTAGGTATCAAGCATATAGGTACCTCCTACCTTAGATACATGGCCGGCCGTAAGTAACCAAGGTAGCGCCTCTAGCAGCTGGTTACATTTCAGAAGGGGGAGGAGGTCAAGCCGGTAACAGGTTGTTCGTCGACGCGTAGTATACCTCCTTACCTACCTGCTAGGTACCTCCTAACTTACGGGAACTCCGTGTTTGATACCTACCACGTTCATAATAGAGCGACGAGACAAATAACCAAAAGCTGACAAGACTGTTCCCAACTGTTCCCATCAAAACCACGTAATAAAGCCCTCTCCCCCTAAACCCCAAGTGCCTACTTCCGCAACCCACTATTTCCCGTTCCCCTCTCTCTCTTCGGCTTCGTTTATCCCGCTTTCTCGACCGGCACCTTCTCGCGGGTGCCATCTTCGTACACCCTCTCGACCGGCGTCTGCTTCGGTGTCAGCGCAGTTTGGACGCGCGCGGGTGGAGGAGGGGCGGGGAGGACAAGGAGACGTGGAAAGCAGAAGAAGGGAGACGACGGGAGCGCGGCTTACCAAATCCATCCCGTGGGTGTCAGCGAACTTGCAGTTCGGACGCGTGCATTGCTTGCCCGCCTTGCAGTGGTGGCCCCAGTAGCACTCGGGCGTCTTGCACGCGTTCCTGTGGTAGCAGGGCGCCGCGCGGGCCATCGACTTCAGGATCGCCTTGCCGCTCGCGTCGTCCAGGTACGGCCCGTGGTAGTACGTGCACGACCGCTCCTCGCAGACCCCGGTCAGGTGGAACCGGTTGCAGGCCCCCCGGCCCTCCCTCTCCCCGCGCTCGCGGAAGCGCCGCTCCGCCTGCGGGTCGAACCGGGACGGCTCGTCCACCCGCTCGCCCGCCGCGTTCACCAGGTAGTACCTGTCCTTGGGCCGCCGGGCCGGCCGCGTCGGCAGGCTGGCCGAGACGCTGGCTTCCCTCGTCGGCGCCGGCGCGCCGAACAACGAGGCTGGGAGGAATTTGACCGGCCGGGATGGGGATATGGACGGCGCGACGGCGAGTGGGCTGTCGGGAAGGGGTTCGGAGCGGAAAACTTGGGGGAATTTGGCCCGCCGAAGACCGAGCTCCTGGAACTCTGGCGGTAAGGGGGTGGTTTCTAGCAGCATAAGTCGGGTTGGCGGCGAAGCCTCTTGCTGGAGCTTGGTGAGGTAGGCCTTGTCGTGACAGGGGCTGAAGAGGATGTGCTTACACTGCAGGTTGTCAACCATGGCGCGCACCGTCTCGTGGACTTTAAAGTCGGCCATATCCTTGCCGTGGCCGATGTCAACGAAGGAGAAGAGCCCCTGGGAGCGGCTAAACCCTCGGGCGAAAGCGGGCAGTTCCGTCGTGCTTCTCGCCAGCTCGGCGCTGTGAAGTTTCCGGGAGAGGCCCTCGAGATTCAGAGCAACCTGGACAATTATGTGCCAAGCACCCACGTCAGCATCAGGGTAGATGCCTTCAACGTGGTTCTTTACGTCGACGTGTAGTTGTTTAGCAGCCATCACGCCGCCTTCTTCGCCCTTCGTAATGTAGCCTTCGCGGAACACGGCGCTGTCGCCGTTGATCACAACATATACAAAGGAGCCAGCATCCTACACGGCCTCAGCACCATAATCACATCACGCGATGCCCAGGTGGCCCAACCTTTCTTGAGAAGGTCTCGTTTACCGCGTTCTGTCGGATGCCCTTTAGTTTCTTATTGGCGGCCTCGGCTTCGGCCTGGTAACGGGTGCGTGCCTCGATTTCACCATTGCACTCCTCGCACTTGTTCTCGAAGCGTTTCTGCAGCTCCTCGTATCTGACGACGAGATCTTTAACCAGCTCCTCTCGCTCCTTGTCAAACTGACGGAAGCTATCGAGCCGAGCCAGATAGCTGGTGCCGTTCTTCAATTCAACATCACTATTCATTTTGTTTGTTTTTCTTTCTCGCAAGGGACCTAAAAATAGCAGGAAATAGGGTCTAGCTAATTCAGGCAGATATACACAAGATTGAAGATGCCGAGTAGTCGGATATGCCAAAGCGGGCATGAGAGGAAGGGGTTTGCTGTTGTCGGTAGTTGCGCTGTCGTTCGCTTTGGGATGTTTACAGGCCGGCAGAAATTGCTTACTGGCTTCCCCCGTTCTTAGGTAAGCAGGAGCATAGGTTGGCGATGGATACCTACGCGATTGTCTTAACCGCTATAGGTACATATCGTATATGATCACAGAATGGGTGCGTAGGGTATCATTATGTACAAGCATGGATGTCAAGAAACACGAATATCGATATTACTCCACGTGCTACCAAGAGTGGCCCTCTAATGCCGCCAAAATTCGGGTGCTATTGGTGCGCCAGTAGCAAATTCCAGCGGAACATGGCGGACGAAAATAGGTACCTAGCGGCTAAAGAACGTCGGTTACCTTAGCTAGTTAGGCATTAAGTTACCCATGCATTCGCACACTAGACTACCTATTTCAGAAGCATATAGGCAGGTAGATGAGGATTGCATCGAGGAGGTACCTAGGCAGGTATAACTGCCCGCTTGTTAGTTATCTTAGGCTTTATGTCTAGCTAAGTAGATATTCAAGACGAGAAAAAGGGGTTCGTTCCTTACTGACTCCGTTGCCGCGATAGCTAGAGTCTACTAGGTATTAGTCCTCGACATACTACAATAGGACTAGAAACCATGATCGAGGTAGTGGGACGAGGTGACTTCTGAGAGGCACCGATAGAGTTGCCGGGCAGCGCGAGAGCTAAGCGGTGACTGATAAAGGCAGCTAGATTCTTCATTGCCACGTACTCACATTGCTACACACCCTCGAGAGCCGCCAATTATTGTCTAAGTATTATACCTCAGATAACCGAGTCCCAGCTCAGTTTAGCCCCTATTAGGCATCAGACGGTATAGCAGTAAGGTAGCAGGACGCAACGTGCAAGCTTGGCGGCAGCAGCGGACCTAAGCCTCACGGGCGAAGAGAAAGAAGACTCCCCGGCCTGAAAAATAACATGTCGTGTCATGCTATGCGAGATTGAAATTCGGCACTGTCAGACTCATCTATAGGGAGCCTCCCATTCGCGGGGCTACAGGAGAGGTAAGCCCATCGAGTCGACATGCGCCCGGCTTACTACCCCTGGATGGCCTAGGTCCTCGAACGAGGCGCATGCGTGCCGTTCGTCGTTCCTGGTTTAAAAAAAAAAAATTCCAGGGTAAGCCAGGCTGACCCGGGTAATCGACACGATGGACCCTGAATCCGCGATTCTTTCGGCGTCTAAGCATGGGTACATTCGCTGACCCATGTACTCGGTGGTATGCGATGGCAGCCTGCGCAGCGTCGGGACAGCCTCCAGAGCTAGGCAGGTATTGCCGTATTGTACCTAGCACCACCACCAGGAAAATGCGCCCGCCGAGGCCGCGAGCTGAAGTCACTTATATGGCACGCACCGCAGCGAGGGCGCGCTACTTGTGGGCTTCGCTTCACCAAATGACGGGGACGATGCGGGGATGAGGACTCGCGCCGGGATGCGGTGCGATGAGGATAATTGGTGCGGCAAACCGGACTCCACTCCCTTTTCCTCGTCCCCTGGTCTCTCTCTCGTCGCCCGTTCGAATCGGACGTAAACAGGCCGAACGTCATGACTATCGCAACCGCCAACCAGCACCCCACATAACCGCCCAAACCCCCCCTCTTGTGCCATCCCTTCGTGCCCACCGTCGAGCAGGCATTTCCAGTATCACATCGCTGCCCCTGCTGGCATACCTGCTAAACCTAGCTCCCTCTACGCTGCAACGCCCACTCGGCCCTGATTCAGATGTTCAGGCGGAGCCGTAGCTTAGTAGCCACAGCATCGAACCGCGAGCTAGGCCAGGCCCCCCACCTTCTCCCTTCCCTTCGGAGACGAAGAGCCATGCCCGGCATCGTCTTCATAGGCCAGCCACGTTTGGGCCTGAGGTCTAGAATCGGACGAAAATTTTGGAGAAACCGAGTGCGAGGGGCACAAGGCCATAATAATAATGAGCGCGCCCCTCTTTTGAATTTCCCTTCTCAGTAGCCCAGTCTCCTCGAACCTGTCCTCCTACCCATTAGCCCTCTTCCTTGCTTCATCCCGACTTCCCATCTGTTACAATGAGCCCGACTACCGTCCAGACGGCGGTGAGGCCATCGAAAGCGAACATTGCCGTCTTCACCAACCCCGCCCACAAGCTCTGGATCAACGAAGCCGAGCCGACGGTCGAGAGTGTACAGAAGGGAGATGCCCTGAAACCCGGCGAGGTCACTGTGGCCATAAAGAGCACTGGGATCTGCGGGTCAGTCGTGTCCCCCGCGCGCTAAGAGAGATGGAGAGATGGACACACACACACACGCACATACACAAAACCCTGTCACGCTGACCATTACGAAGCTCCGACGTCCATTTTTGGCACGCGGGCTGCATCGGGCCCATGATCGTAGAGGGAGACCACATCCTAGGACACGAATCAGCCGGGCAAATCATCGCCGTCCACCCGTCCGTAACGAGCCTCAAAGTTGGGGATCGTGTTGCGGTAGAGCCGAACATCATCTGCAACGAATGCGAGCCCTGCCTAACAGGTCGCTACAACGGCTGCGAGAAAGTACAGTTCCTGTCGACCCCTCCGGTGCCGGGCCTACTTAGGAGATATGTGAACCATCCAGCTATCTGGTGCCACAAGATCGGAGACATGTCATACGAGAACGGAGCGATGTTGGAGCCCTTGAGCGTCGCCTTAGCGGGCATGCAGAGGTCCGGCGTCAAGCTCGGTGACCCGGTACTGGTTTGCGGCGCCGGGCCGATTGGATTGATCACTCTGCTATGCTGCAAAGCTGCCGGTGCCTGCCCCCTGGTCATCACCGACATCGACGAGGGACGGCTCAAGTTCGCCAAGGAGCTGTGTCCGTCGGCGATCACGCACAAGGTGGAGCGGCTAAGCGCCGAAGACTCGGCCAAGGCGATCGTAGCATCCTTCGGAGGCATCGAGCCCGCCGTCGCCATGGAGTGCACCGGCGTTGAGAGCAGTATAGCAGCGGCCATCTGGGCGGTTAAGTTCGGAGGAAAAGTCTTCGTGATCGGCGTCGGCAAGAACGAGATGAACTACCCCTTCATGCGCTGCAGCACTCGCGAGGTCGACCTGCAATTCCAATACCGATACTGCAACACCTGGCCACGGGCTATCCGTCTAGTCGAGAACGGCGTGATAGACCTCACGAAGCTGGTCACTCATCGCTTCAAGCTCGAGGACGCGATCGCGGCCTTCAACACCGCCGCGGATCCCAAAACGGGCGCCATCAAGGTGCAGATCCAGAGCGACGACTAGCCATGGAAGGGGCCCATGCGGCGAGCTCAACCCCAGCTACTCTAGGGTAGGAGCATAATGTAATGAATCTGGGACGAGAGTCGACGGAAGACAAGCGGAGTGGGTGGGGAGCAGAAGGCTAGAGAACCATCTATTGTACCTAGGGTTATTGACATAAGCCAAGCAGGTAGCAGCTCCGGATATCGGGTTGGGTAATTCAGAGAACTGGATGCAACATAGGGAATAGGTATGTATTGTTCTTCGCACGCTACCATAGTGAAGAAAAAGTCGAGGTATGTATAGAGAGAGAGAGAGAGGAGAGAAGAAGTGAGGATGGAGAGTAGAATTCGGCTAAAGGCTGAGGAGCATCTGTAGACGAAACCCTCCCTTATGTACATGACGTACCTAAGGAAGGCGACGTATAGGGAGATATAACAATAAACGAAAGGGACAACCCCGACATTACATAATTCGAGGGTGAGCACAGCAGCGGCCGTTCTTATTGGCCAATTGGACAGGTATCCACAGGGACGGGCGGACGGGCTCGGGCATGCACAGGAGGAGGTACCTGTACTTTGGCAGAAGTACCTCAGGTGTAGGTACTTCGAGGGTTCCTTTAAGGTTGACTACCAGAAAGGGCCCACCACGATCTCGGATCGGGTTTTTCCGCCATGTGAATACCTGTCGGGTACCTCCACCAGTTAGCGGACATCTCAATTTTTTTGAACAGCCGACAATTTCAGGTAAGTCATGGTGGACAAAAAGCCCTCGAGTGTTTTTTTCTCCCTCCCCTACCGAGAATAAACAACCGCCTCGCCCTCCCCCCCCATCGACGACAAAGCAGCGGCCTTTGCGAACCCGCCCACGGCCCCTCCCTTCTCCCTTGGTTGTCAATCGAGGCCGTCGCCGTCGCCTCTCATTTTCGGCTGCTATCGCCGAGGGCCGTCCGGAATCCCTCTGATCCCCCTCCGCTGCCGCCCGAAGGCCGAGTCGGCACGATGTCGTCCGCTCTCTCTCGACCGATGATGCTCCGGCAATCGGGCGCCTGGGGTCGCATGGCCACCCGAAGGTTCGAGTCCACCACCGCGAAGGCGACCGATGCGGCCAAGGAATCTGCCTCGAGGGCTTCCAAGGCCGCGTCCGAATACTCGGCGAAGGCGGCGCAGGGACTGTCGAGGGTCGCCTCGTCGGCTGGTCCGGCTATTGCGGGCGCCGCTAAGGGGGTCGCCAACTCGTTGGGCAAGGTCGGCGGCCGTACCGGAAAGCTAGTCAGCTTTGTCGAGAGTACGTGAAGCTGCCATCCGCCATTTTATCTCTCTCGCAAGATCGCGCATCGTCATACGGGATCTGGAATGGGAGGGCAGGGTCCCACGCGTGTGTAGTACGGCTGGGTCAGATAGCTAATCTTAACCACCTTCGGCTACGCAGAGCATATTCCCACGGCTATCTTCTACTCCAAGGTCGGCCTGGAGCTCGTCAAGATCGTGTTCAAAGGCCAGAAGATGGTGCCACCGTGAGTCAGGACCGATCCGCGCAGGTTGCCTGCATCGCCCTACCGTCCCCCACATGGTTAACCAGACGCGTGTGTCTGTAGGCCCCTCACCACCTTCCAGGCCTATTTCGAGAACGCGTGGAAGTCCATCCAGAACCCGAGCATCCGGAACAGCCTATTCCAATCAGCAGCCAAGGTCTTCCAGCAACCACCCTCTAAGATCCTCGAACAAATTCGGAATGTCGACCGCGCCCGACTTGCTGCTGGGGGCGTTCTAGCCGCCGAGTGCCTCGGCTTCTTCACAATCGGCGAGATTATCGGTCGCTTCAAGTTGATCGGGTACCACGGCAGTCCTGCTAGCGCCCACCATTAGAGGCGATTCCAGCGAGAAATAACGAAAGAAAAAAGCAAGCTTCCTCGAAAAAACGCTATCTGTATTACACATGGATGGAGGGAAGGACAGGGGGGCGGGGGTCGGAAGGAGAGGGGGAACGATATAGACAGGCGGGTATTGCTGCATTCAACGGATCATAGTGGGTAATACGAAGGCACGAGGAGTCCGAGTTTGGACTCTTTTTCACTTAGACACCGACATGGCGGCTGCCCTATCCCCTCTTGCCACGAGGGTTCTGGCCCGTTTTTTCCTTTTCCCCCTCTATTATATGATCGGCTGCGGTAACGGGTGGGAAGTGCAAGATACAGAAAAGGGGGGAGAGGGAGGAAGGCAGCGAGGCAGTAAGAGGTAGCGGGAGAGGAGGGGGGGGGGGGGGGGGGGGGGGTAGAGACATTCCCCCGGAGTCGAGAACGACTCGCCTCGCGTTTGGTTGTATATTCATCACTTTTGTTCACCCTTTTCGAACATCCCGTCGGGTCAACCATTCTTCTTCGTCTGCTTCTTCTTGTTCCCTTTTCCCTCCCCCCCTTCCCCCTCCTCCTCTTCTTATCTTCTTCCTTTTGTCACACCATCCTGTACAATAAGTATACCACTGGCATTGAGATGGGCCCCTAGACAGGCCGTACTCGACGAATAGAGAGACAGACAGAGCAGAGAGAGAGAAAAGAGAGAGAGAAAGAGAGGGACTAATTGCCCGCCACCGACAGAGACTTCTTCCCTTCTGCTGATAATACGGTTGTCTGGGACCGGCTTGTGGCATACCCGACCCCCCCCCCCAACCCACCCCAAACCTAACCCCGGAGTCTTAACGTATAAACATCTTCAGCTACCCCCGAACGCACTCTCTCTGCTCCTCTCTCTTCCAACAAATCCGCTCCCTATTACGGCTCGGCCACGGCAGCCGCACCGCCTTCTCCCTCTACCGACCGGCCTTGGTATCAACATGGCACGGGGACTTAGGGGAAAGGTGTAGAGGGGAAAGACAGGTAATTCTCAAGGGTGGAAATAGCGTTGACGTGGCCGCGTACCGGCCGCCGCTGACGCCGTGTGTAGGGAGAGGCAGGCGAGTATCCGAGCAAGCAGACGCAGGTAGAGGAGAGAGAAAGAGGGTCCCCAGATGGTCTGCTCAGCCGGTCGGGCGTGGTGGATAGAGCAGCGACGGATAGGGCTCGTGTATATGCCTACATCCACGTCTATCTACCCAAGCAATCGATCCCGTGCATCTGCCACATACCTACCTCCATCCGCCCGCGCCCCGACGCTACCGCAGCGAGCCCAACCGTCAGATCGACGGCCCTACCCCAGACCTAGGACCAGCGCGTTGCCACAACGTCTCCAGCCCCGTTGCCGACCTACGAGGGCGGTATGGGCGCCGAGCGCGAGATCCCTGGGAGATGCCCGACTGCGCTGGCTCCTTGAGCACCCCTGCCCCCCGCCCCCGCCAGACCGACTCTAGCGGTGGAGGGACCATCGCGATCTAAACAAACGCAGGAGCACTAGTAGAAGCAAGTATACAGTCGCGTGACAGGATAACGCCAGGGGAGGTGAGGAAGGGGGGGGGAGGGGACAGGGTCATGGAGCCTCGTTACCCGCTCTTACGTGCTCCACACCGCGCCGCGGCGGGGGAGACTAGCTAGCCGCCAAGTCCCGGATGGCGCAATCGAGGTGCCAGCTAGTCTTGTCCCGGGCCTCTCGCTCGCTCGCTCTCTCGCGCGTGTGTGTGTTGTGTCTGAGGTAAGCTGGGCGGGGGGGAAGAGGACGAGGAAGAAAGGAGGAAAGGAAGGGGGGATGAGGAAGCGAGCCCCTCCGATCCGCTCTCTCTCTATCTATCGGGGAGGTGGAAGAGGGACCAATTGCCGTAGTGAGGCGGACGCTCGAGCGTCGAAGATGTTGGTGACACGTAGACATGGCGTAGAAGGCTCGCGGGAGTTATTAGTATCCCCCCGAAAAAGCAAAGACGAGGAAGAAAACCCCAAGAACAAGAGGGTCTCGGGCGTTGGCCACGGGGTGTGATAGCAAGAGCAGTGTTAAGCGATCTTCCCGTGTTGGCTTTCTCCCCATCCCACCTCCGTTACCGGGTCGCTGGTCCGTCCCGTATCGTATCGATCCGCGGTCCCGCCCATCTGGCCACTCCGCGCGCGCATGAGTGCGCTAGAGGGTAGAAGGGGAGGGTGTGAGGGAAATTGCCACATCGGCTGTTGTGCCAGGCAGGGGAGGGAGGTCGAACTGATGTCGGCGGAGACATGTCGCGCATGACCGCCGCTATTATGGGAAGGGCGTCAAAAAAAAAAAACCAGGATGCGACCCGGCACCAACCTGCATAAGGGCGAGGAGGGAACACACATACTCTCTCTCTCGCCTCGTCGTATCTAGCAGCACCACCAGGCCAGGTGGGAGCAGGGGGGGTGGGAGCGAGGCAGGTAGAGCGTCCGTTGGGGCGGTAAGGGAAAAGGAAACAATGCCATCATAACCTCCCACGTGCGACCCCGCGGCGACGTAGGCGGAACCAACTGCATATAGAGAAGTGCTAGGGGGGCCAAGGGTGGGTTCGTAAAGGGGAGGAGAGGGCAGGGAGAGCGATAGAGGCCCGGCCCGCTAACACGCCTCGCCTAGCGCGAGGAAACCTGTTTGTTATAAGCACGAGGTGCATCTGCGAGAGAGAGCATGGGCCGACGACGGGCGCAGTAGAGGGGGGGGGGGGAGGCAGGAAGCGAGTCGTCGTCGTCGACTTCGAGCCAGCCGCCAGATCCAGCCCATCCGGCATCTGGCAGCGATCACGTAGGGGACATCCGATCTGTCAGGTGTGGGAATGTGGACGCACACAGGCACCCGTCTCCTAACGGGGCGCCCATGTACGGATCACGTACGTATGGACGTATGTATGCATGTGTGCGTCGAGTGGCACAGCATGCGCGGGCACGCACGCAGCGCCGCAGGGAACGAGATAGGCAGACACTCCTCCCCCCCTCCCCCCCTACTCCTTGTGCCTCGCTAGCCTGCGAGCGGCGTGAGAGTAAGCCCAGCAGAGAGGGGGCAGGGGGGTGAAGGGGGTAGCCATAGGGTATATAAAGCGTGCGGCCGCCAGCGCGGCCGCCGCCCGCAGAGGCCCTGTGTATACGTATGGCGTGTGCGTGTGTAGGCGTCACCCAAGCGGCGGCCACCTAGCTCAGTGCCCGGGGCAGCCAATTTCGGGACGTTAGACGGGAATGCAGGAAGCCGACGCGCGTTCGGGCCGGTCGACAGCGTCGAGGGGATCGCTTCACGTAGCGATCGCCCAACCCGCACGGCTGGCCCTGTACGGTGATATGCATGGTGGGTAGGCTGTGTGCTGCCGGCGTCTGATAGGGCCGCGTCGTCGTCGCCGTCCGCTCTGGAACGCTCCCCCAACGCTCCCTCCCCTGGCCAATCTACCTCTCCATTCCCCTACGTCGGGGATACCTTCGTCGCCTCGCCGTCGCGACGCACCACCACCGCGGGCCGTCCCCGAGCCCGTCTAGCAGAGGCGGGTTCTGCGCGCGCGGTCTGGGGATGATCGGTGGCCAGTGACGTTGCAGCCCTTCTACTCACCCGCATTATTGTAATCTCCCTCTCTCCCTCCCTAGTGCCCATTGGGGGCGGGGGTTCCACCGGTCAAGGGGGTGTGCGAGACAACATCTCACCAACCAGCCTGTCGGTCCACCTATGATATCGCCGGCCAGTTAGACTAACGCGGGCCCAACGCGGGTCCAGCACGGGTCGGGTCGGGTCGGCCCTACTGCGCGACTTCCGGGACGCAAGGGAGATATAAGGTGAGGAAGAAGAGATGGAGAGGGGGGCGAGAGAGAGAGAGAGAGGTGTGATACCACGCGGCGGGAGTAGGCGGGAGGGAGAGGTCTTGCTAAAGAAAAGAAATCGACGCCTGGGTTCCTTGCGGCGGTGCGTTATTTCGTCCGCAGCCCCCGGCGGCGGCGACCCTCGTTTCGATGGAGGTGTGGCGCATTGTCACGGCTCTGCCTCTCGGCCTGGAGCAGTTTTTACACACGTATCCATGCGGCCCATGTCTGCCCACATCAGTACCTAAATAGTACCCAGGTAACCCGGGCGATTGGGTTGGACCGGGACGAACCCCTACTAGACCCAGGCGGGAATGGCGAAGGTAACGCTGGCAGGAGGCGCTGCTTGTCGACGCGGTGAACAAGTGTAAGAAACCCGAAAAGATGAAAATGAAGAAAACACAGATAGCTACCTGGAGGTAGGTAAATATGATAATACCGAGCTACCCAAGGTGTATATATCGCATAGCTTAGGTACTCATAAATACCTAACATACCTACCTAGGTAGGTAGGTAGTGCTTGGGTTACGATCCGGCAGGGGAGAGGCGCAAACAGGGAAAGGAAAAAAGGGGTTGAAGGCAGACGGCTGTGCCACACATACTACCTAGGTAGCTATTAGTTGGTTAGGGTACACGCCTACTTGGCACAGACTTGACATAGGCATGTAGGTGTGCATGTGCGCCGCATCTTACCATCTTCTTGCCCAACAGAGAGAGAAAGACAGCCTCACCGTGAACGGGTCGGAAAAAAGAGGCTAGCCAAGCGATCTACTGCTTGTTCTGTGAGGTGGATAGAAATCGACTATGATGATTGTGGGATCTAGTAGCCGCACAGGCGTCTACCGACCTAAGCACAACATGTGTCCCAAGTCGCAGCGATAGCAACGCCGGCAGAGCTAGCAATTGCCTACCTATACCAAACGGACAGATGCTGTCGGTCGCACAGGAGCCCGTTGGGGGCCGAGTAGTGCATCCGGGCAATCATCGTGTGGGCAAGCGAGGTAAATAGGCGTGGCCGGCTTAGGCGTAGCCAGAATCCGCATGAACGCTTTATTATTTACACGAAGCCGTAAATACTCACAGATGTGGTCGTCGATGGCAACCGAAACAACCGCAAGCGCAACAAGAGACAGTGGCCTCGTGGCCGTCTCTTTCTCTCTCGCTCTCTCTCCCCCTCTCTCCCTCTCTCTGCAGATCAACTTTTCCTGTACCGCAAACCCTGGTGGGAAATATGACAACGGCACGACATAACACCTACGACCGTACACAGCGTACACCATCGAGAGAAAGCAATGCAATGCAAGCACAACCCAGAGCGCCGTTTCATCTAAGACTGAGGAAAAGCAGTGTAACTCTTCACTGCCCAATGCGCCCCGACGCTTGCTTGCCAAGCCAGCACCGCCAATAGAGGCACCTTATCCCATCTCAACGCTCACCTTCTCCTACGCCAAACAGAAATCAGCCGACCAAACAACCCAAAAAAATTCGAACAAGACCCTCCCCACCCCCTCCCCCCCGGCAGTGCGCGACACCGTAGCTAGAACCGCTCCGATTCTGGGGAGGAGGGAGAGAGTCGTTCACCACCGATGTCCAAGGGACAAAGTATAGTAAAATGGTAATGGTCCATTTTCCTCGTCAGAAATAACCGCCATGAGGGGAAGTGCACAGCGAGCAAAGTGGTCATAGCCTTCGACACACTCCATGTATCGTACATTGCGTCTGCCCATGCACGAGCAGGCGCATTACTTCCCGATCAGCTTGTGTTGGTGCAGGTCTGGCCAATACCGGGAAAGTACACTTGTGCTCAGCCTGTCGAGAGAGAGTATGCAGGACCTGCTAGTTATGCGGGAGGATGCCGAATATGTCACGGTGGAGGGGAATCGACCCAGTTGCCCTCAAGAACAGACACCACCGCCTTTGGCCTTTGCGTAATGAGGAAGGCCTGCAGGGGTTCAAAGCTGGCCCATACGGGCTAGAACTCGTAGGCCAGCAGGACCGATATGTATCTATCAAGGTCGACCGTCAATAGCGCAGCCCAACCCTACCGAGGGGTTGTCGTCGGAAGGGGGGGGGGGGGGGGGGGGACGAAGAGTCGGGTAAACGTCCCATATGTTACAAGTACCCCGTGATACAACCAGAGCCGGCTCTCCGGGGGGCTCCTGAATGGGTTAGGTAGTAGAAAAGAGGTGGGGAGAAGACCATCGCAGAGAGTATAACTATGACAGGGGGTTTGCTCATGCTCTGTAGACGTCTGGCATGGACTCGTGGGCACAAGCAATCGGAGCGAAATCTTGGTCCAAGCAGCACGCAAAGAGGCAAGTACCAGTCCAACGGTTGCATTGCAGGCAGCCGAAGAGCACTCACACCCGTTGGCCCGGTATCGATGATGGTCTCCGGGCGGTCCAAACATACCTAACCTCGTCAGTTTCATCAAGACGGGTAGCAGCAGCGGGACTTACATTGTACAGAAAGCTCTCATTCCGCGAGTGCACATCTCCTTCCGCACTCTCTCGATCAGTATCGCGACTTGTTCCGGATCGTAGCCGTTCATCCTCGTTAAAGGGGCTATTGTTAAGGCGTGTAGCCCTTGTGTAACCCCAAGATTGAACCACCTGCCCAACTCTCTCTCGTGCTCTTCCGGCGGCCAGGAATTGAACGGGATACGCTTGCTTACTTGCTCGACGTCGACGTAGCCAAGGTGTTGCAGCATCCCGGCCGTATTGGGGTCTAACGTCAATGGTCGACCGGCCCTCGCCATAGCCTCGGTCAGTTCCCGCGCCCACAACCGGAGCTGAGAGTCCTCAGGTAGATCGCCGCCCTCGGATCTAGGGGTGAAATCAATCTCTATGTGTTCGAACACCCCGGTTCCGGGCTTGAGGTATCTGCAAGCGGTGGTTAGTGGTATGTGATCACGTGCGACCTGCGAGCAAGCCAACGTCCAGGGGTTCATACCTGAGGATCCGGCTATATAAGCTCGACCAGTTCTGTATGCTGCCCGCGAGCATGCTCATGCGGATGAGGTCAAAAGAGCCCTCCTCGACGCCCGTCCAGGACTCTTCGATATCGCGGCGCTCAAACCTGACGCCAGGAGGGATTCTATAACCAGTGAGCGCATAGCAAGAAAGGGGGCCGGCGCACCGGACGCGATTGCTGTCGCACTCACCGTAAGGGTTGGATCAAGGAGAGGTCCCAGCCAAGAATACTAGCTCGACCCTGATGGCGACTGTGACGAGACGAGAAAGTCAGCCCAGGACGACCCGCCCGCCGCGCGCTCCCGCGAGAAGATAACTCACTCTGCCATGTCGATCACCCATATGCCGGTTCCACAGCCAAGATCTAGGATTCGCGGGTGATCAGGAAGTGGCCGCTGACATAGGCCTCCGTAATGGGAATCGCCCCGTCGCGCGACCAGGAAGAACTGGTGAAATATGTCCATCCGGTCCATTTCTTCCTAGATGGGGTCATTTCTTTTAGCAAAAGCCGCGGGAAACCGTCAATTCAATTTCAGAGCCGTACCTCGTCCATCGGAAACATGTATTTGCCTCTCCGGAATGTGTCATAGTGCCGACCATTCTCCTTGAACCACCACTCTTCTGGTTTCGCCCTGTTGTCTATCCGAGGCAGGGAAGGCGGAGGTATAGGTGCACTAACAGGCACGAAGGCCGTGTCAGTACCCCCTAGAGCTCGGAGGTGCAGGCTCGGAGCCCTCGTTACATACCCGTTCTGACCGTAGATCGAGCCGTTACCATTGTGAGCCATGGCGGGAACAGTGAAGCCCAAACAGGGCAGGGGTGCGCGCGCGCGAAGGACGGCCCGCCAGAGCAAGGCTCTCCGAAACGGGTAGCAGGGTCGGATAGATCGTTGCGACGACGGGCGAGAGCTTCGCGTCCAGTCGGGCGCGGCGCTACCTTCGTCGCGGAGGTCGATCGGAGACGGCGCCGGGTGGGTTGCGGGATCACAATGGCTTGTCGGTTCGAGACGGGTCGCGGATGTCGGAGAAGAAGCAGTCGGGTCGAAGACGCGCCGGCGGCTCGACGAGCAAGAAAAAGAGCGTGGAGACGGAGAGAAGGTGTCAATCGGTATGCGGAGCAGCGCTGGTACCACGAGAGGAACTGCGGGAGAGGCGGGTTGAGTTTGTGTAGTAAAATAATAATAATAACGAGGGGCAACCAGGATACGCGTGTTGAAGAAATCGCGGGTTCGAGGATGGGCGGACGGATAATACGTGAGGATGGATAAGGCAGATTGATTGACCTGGTGGTGGGGGCTAAATTCCAACGACCAAGAATTAATCGAACGAGGCAAGTCATAAAATCAAAAGGGCGAATTTGCTTGCTGCTACGCTCTTTCCCGGCCGGCTTTCTAGCAACTTGCTCTTCCCTCTCTCCCTCAGGTATCTCCCTCTGTTTTCTCTCGTTTTCTTTTCTATTCTTCTTTTTCCTTCGTCTCTTCCTCGGGCAGACAAACCACAGGAACGTCTCCAGCGGTGCAGGCGGTTGCTACTGCTACTTTTGTCGTCGGTTGCTGTGGCAGGTGGGCAGGTGCTGTTTCTGGCGTCGCCGCTGCCCTGACGGTGTTGATTCCGCCGTTGCCTCCAATAATACCACTCCGAAAGGCAGGCAGGAGAGGTACGGGAGGGACCCTCGACGTTGGGGCGGTACCGCCTAGTATATAGCCCAGGTACAGTAGGTACTTGGCCCAGGTAGGCGCTTTCCCCAGAAGGTCAAGGTTCCCAGGCTCTACCTAAAATGTGTTGGAAGGTACGGGGAATGGGGGGGTAGTCGCAACGTCAAGAGGTCAGGTAAGGTGTTAGATCGATTGGGGAGCTGCCGCAGTCTGCATACAAAGGACGGATATGTATTTCGCGGGACAATGCAACAAAGAATACAGCGGCATCCGGCAGCACCTATTGGACGTAGGGAGGCTTAGGCACTGTACTCTACTATAGGCAGCTTGGTAGACAGGATAGACAGGTAGGCAGGTAGGCGGGCGGGATCAGACAGGCAGCGGCAGCGGCCCATTTAAGTAGTCGTGGGAAGGGAGAATTTTCAGATGCCGGGGCCGACTAACATGCCGGAGGGCAGCAGAGGGAGAGAGGCTGAGGGGGAGGCCTTCGATCTGGAAATAAATAGCTGCAAAGCTGGGATCCCTACGAGCTTCACACAAGGCACCGGGGAGCGAGGACGGGGCGGAGGAGGAAAGAAAAGAAAACAAGCGGAGGAAGAAGAGGAAAAGGGAGAGGAAGGAAAGAAGAGATGTTGGAAGAGGCCCCCGTCCGCCCATCCATCCATCCCCAACCATCCCATACACAGGTAGCTCTTCGACGTTAATAATATGCATTCACGTATGCATGTATGTACGTAGGGTGCATGGACAGGCTCCCATAGATACCTACCTCCTCCTCGCAACCTTCCAAGATAACTGGCCCTGCTCCCACACCGGCTTTTGCGCGACGACGGACAGCAGTACTTCGAGGTACAAGCCCGCATGCATCTCGGGAGTCAGGGAGGGCTAGCCAGGGAAGGCAGGGAACGCGTGCAGCTCGGTGGGTCCCGCAACCGCCAAAGGATCGATCATGCCGTGCTGTACAAGTATCTACACCATCGCTTGCGTGTTCCGCCGCGCGAACCCAGGTACACCGTAGGTAGGCCAGGCCGCCGTCATGGGGCAGGGGGGTGAGCCACTCGCTCTGCCTGGCCGTAGAAGGTACCTTATGTTAGGTTATACGTAGGTAGATCCCAGCATCACTCCATCTTGAAGTCAGGTACCTGAGGCCGTCACCCGCTCATTGATCCTACACAGGTAGGTAGCCCAGGTAGGTGTCTTAGGTACACATATGCCACTATTCTGCGACTGTACCTCCGAAGGTACATACCTACCTCTACCTATTAGGTGCCCAGCCTGCTAACCTAAGCCCGGTATAGGATTCCCCTAATGCATGTACGTGCGTAGGCATTGCATTTCTGATGTGGGAGGTACCTCCCTAAAGTATGCGCCCACACCTACATCGTATACTTACGTCAATAGGAGGCAGAGCCAGGTGGTAAGCATTAGAAAAATCAGGTGCAAGTAGTGGATACGGCTAACCTTACTGCTACCCAGGTATGTAGGTAACCTCCCATCTGCCACCGTCCTGACATTTCCTTTCAACGACCACAACGACCACATCCACAACCGCGGCACAACGTGGCGTCAAGCAGGTAGACGATGGCCATGATATCGTCGGCTGTCGTCACCCTCGAGGCTAGCATTCGTGGACACGGCTTTACCCACTTGCGAGGGCCTCCTTCAACCAACCAAGCCGCACACCCCCACACGGCGCGCATTGGATACATGGACACGATCGAGCACGGCACGGCACGGCCGTTAACAACCCGTACCAACTAGGTAAATTTGACCTTGCAAAGCATGTTGCCCCTCTTTCTCTCTCCCTCTCTATCTCCGTCTCTCAGTTGCCTTCCTCGCTACCGTCCAAAGTGCCAGCCTATGGCACTAGAGGCAGGTTGGAACATGCTTCGGTGACGGAGGTGGTCCCAGTCTCGACCGCAGTTCGGAACTGGTTATCCTACGGCACCACCAATCCGGTGGTGCGCCTGGTGCCGCTATTCTGGATCCGTGTTAGCAAAGTGGCTCCTTTATAGGCTTCGGAAATCCCATCCCTTCACGACTTGGCTCCACTGCCATATAACGCTACCGTCCCGACGCGGAGGATCGCGTCTCCCTGGTAGTGGCACAAGCCTTGGAGAACTGGGTAATGGCACTAACACCGGATCTTGTAACAGATGGGTGACATACAGCAACCGATATTGGGAGTTCGGATTTGTTTCGACTTATCACCTTCTCTATGACCCCAGCGCCCTACCCAGCTAGCTAACCCAGGTGTTCGGGCAAGTTCCCAAGTTCTGACACGAGGCACCGCCCGACGCCAGGTATGCAGTGGCTGTTTGGGGGTCTATTCACACCGCACGCCGCCGGTATCTTCTTCCGCTCTACCCGACAGACACGTTGTACACGGCATAGCGACGTCCCAGTTGGCCTACTTATAATAAAGAAGAACACGAGACGTCATACAACCGCGAGAAAACGCGTCGTACGAGGGATAGATAGCCTTTTCCCGTGTAACCTGTTTCACAGACATCCCTTCTCTCAGTTCCCAGTAGCCGTTCGTATCCTCAGCTTGATCGGGCACATAATCCGTGCATGTCAAGGAGACGCGGAGACTTACACGGCTTAGACCTGTCAGGAGCATGCACCACGGGAGCGGAACCCTGGACCGGGCTGTCAACCAATGCACGGGATTTAAACGCGGTATGCTTCAAGACAGACAAATTAACCACATCGGGGATAAGCTCGCTGTGTCGAAGAAAAAGGGCCGTCGTGGGATAACCCTCCGACTGACTCGACCCTTTCCGTCCTCAACACGCAGCTCCGAGGTTTCCGCAAAATGTAACATCGAACGGCTACACCAACAAGGGACTCAGACCTCCTTACACATATGCCCGAAAAGTGTGCAGTACTTTGCGGTCGTGACGTCGCCTCTTGCGAGAGCAGGTTATCTCGATATCACGTCATGAGACCAACCTTGTCTGGGGTTCGATGAGCACCAAGGTCACAACCATTCTCCTCGCTTCCAACTGCTCCCACCAATGGCTGCTCGCTTGTGGTCCCCTTTGGGATAATTGCTAGCCCTGCAAACCCTCCCCCTCCACAACGACTTTCATGTACTCGCGGTGCCCCAACTGGGAAGAAGGCTATGAAATGCGAGCTTCTCAATTCTACTGTTGGCCTTCGACCGACACACCCCGAGGCCCCCAACATCCACGTCAGCGGAAGCAACAGAGGCTTGAGAACAATATGTCTACGTAAAAAGGTGAACGTCAGTAACGATACAGCTGGTGTTATTTAACTAGCAGGATCACTAGTTCACTACCTGTTCAGGTGGCAGGCCCCTAACTACAAGAAGTGTCACGTAAGACCTCCGTACACGAAGATCGATGGCGGGAATTAGATATTCGTTTGCCACTTTTCGCCCCCTCCTTCTTTCGAGCCAATCTCTGCCATGCCGCTCCGCGTCGAAAAAAAGGGGGGTGCTCTCAAGACATATCGGATCACCGAGTCCCAAGCGTACAACAACGATTATGGAAGGCCTGCAAGAGGAGCACTCAACAGCCATAAACGTTATGGATAGGCGGTCGTGTACCTCCTACTCCTCCTGCTCTATGGTGGGTACATGTTACACGATGCTTCCGCAACTGCAGCTGGATCACATCGGGTATGACAGCATCATCCGGTTCCGTTGCTACGCCTCGCTATTTAGAGAGAGCCCAATCCGGCCACTCACAAAGTACGAGCACGGCTACTTCCCCTGCAGGTAGTACCAACTGTGCTCGCCCTCATCTGTCCCGCCTACGATCACATTTGGACAACGCCAACTAGCCCGCTCTCTCGAGTGACCGCGAAGTCCAAGAGTTAATACACTTTCTACTCGACATCCGCCCCCACTCGCCTAGAGGAGCACAACCCATGTGGGTCCATCGTTCGCGAAACTCGGACGTGGCCTCTCTACACGACTGGAAAGGTTTCACAAGACCCGACCCAATGCCCTGGGAAGGACTCGCAACAGTGGGGAGACTCTCAACCCATGAGCACGGAAGAATTACTAGGCTTCATCGGGAGGTCCCCGAAAGGTCAGTAACCCAGTCGTCAGCTAGCTGGGTCATTAGGTAGACACTTGCGACTGTCATATCCTGGATACAGGTACCCTCGACCAGGTGACCTCACACAGCCTTTGTTCAGGAAACACAGGGGGGGCATCCCCCGGCAGAGACCAATCAGGACAATCAACTCGAACCCGACACTCTGGGACATAATTAAGTTGTGTCTTGGCATACCCCACCTGTCGCAGTTGTGTTGGCAAGTTATCCTGAACTGATTGGAAGACGTGTGGAATGGGAGATCCAAGCAGAGCCAGGATCATGACTTAGTTAACCCCTCCAACAGGCCGAACGAGATGGGGAGGTACCACACCTACACTCACACCCACATGCCCTTAGCGTACAACGTAGTCGATGTCTGCCTCTCGGAGAAAGAAAAGAAGACATAGGCATCGTGTCAGTAGCATGCGGCTAATGAACTCAGGTGTTAGTGGAATCGCCCATTCACCTCCAGGCAAATCCCATAGCCTAGCAACCGTTTCAGCTCGGCTCAACATGCTAGATCCCATCTACTCCTCTCCTTTTGGGCATCCCCGGGGATCAACTCCGTCATCGTAAGCACCGGGCCGAGGAATATCAGTACTGGGTACTTGTCCTTTCAGATCCGGGCCTTGAGGGGAACGTCAGCCAGTCATGAGGGATATCTAACGATTCGTCATTCGC